CCACCGGACCATCCCAAGGCAAGAATGAATTCAGCCCTAAATCAGCATAAAGGGTTTTTTGTCGCTAATCAAGTATCCGAGGTGTCACACAACAATGAAGAAAGGCCTGCAGTTTCACTATCGAAGCCTAACTTAAGCAACTTTTGTCACTTCTTAATAATCAATATGAAGGCCCTAGTTCCAAAGCAAATGCGAGTAACAAAGCTAGGTTTGTCTAAAGTCACTCCCCGCAATTAGATTATTGATAGTGGGGCGACGGATCATATTACTTCATCATCTCAATTGTTGCATAAAGACAAACATTGCTCGCTACCACCTGTATTGTTACCTAGCGAGAGAAAAGGCAAATATTGTTGCAAAAGGATCTTTGCCTTTGAATTCAGTATATTATCCGCATGATGTGTTATCCGTGCCCACATTCAAAGTTGATTTGATGTCGGTTAGTCGTTTGACGAAAGGTCTAAGATGTTTAGTGACTTTTTTTCCTTATTGGTGTATTTTGCGGGATTTGGCTACGAAGGGGACGATTGGTTTGGGTAAACAACGTGACGGATCGTACTATTTAGTGGCATTGACAACGAAGCAATCTTTGACCAACTCTTCCTCATCCATAAATCGACCAGACTTGTAACCTTACCACTTCATCCACGGACTTATGGCATAGTCGTTTATGCCATGTATCACCTTCCCGCTTAAGTTTCATTGCTAAGAACTATTTAAATCTTTCTGTTGAGTCGAATAATGCTTGCCCTATATGTCCTTTGGCTAAGCGAGTCGCTTACATTTCGATACAAGTACTATTTCCTTTACAAAACCGTTTGATATTATACATTGTGATATTTGGGGTCGTTATCGACATCCTTCTCTTTACGGTGGTCATTATTTTCTTACCATTGTTGATGATTATACACGTTTTACATGGATATTTTTAATGCGTCATAAAGATGAAGCACAATCACTTTTGAAACACTTCTTCGGTTATGCTTTCACTCAATTTGAATCCCACATTAAAACCTTTCGAAGTGACAATGGTAGGGAATTTCTATCCCTTCGTCCTTTTTTTCAAAACAACGATGTCATCTTTCAACATTCTTGTGTTTATACACCTCACCAAAATGGGGTTGTGGAACGCAAACATCGTCATATCTTACAAATAGCTCGTGCTTTGAAATTTCAAGCTCAACTCCCTTCCCAATTTTGGGGCGAATGTGCTCTTACTATCGTACACATCATTAATCGATTGCCTTCACCAATACTTTCTTTCAAAACTCCCTTCGAGCTTCTTTATTCAAAACCACCTTTCTTTTCTCATCTACGGGTATTTGGGTGTTTAGCTTATGCCACTAATGTTCACACTTCACATAAATTCGACCACCGGGCCATACCTTCCCTTTTCATTAGTTATCCCATTGGTCAAAAGGGCTACAAATTATTTGCTTTATCAACTAAAAAAATATTTACTAGTCGAGATATAAAATTCCATCGGCAAATTTTTCCTTATGCCTCTGTTCAACCCAACTTCACCATTCCTCTACATGTTCATAATTCCGACCCACCTCCCTTATTTGCCCACAACTCATCTTCTCTTATGGACTTTAACTTTGACCCTCAAACAATTATATCTTCTTCTATCCCTCCGGTTTCACCAACACCTTCTCCTTCTCCTCAAAACCAAAACCCCGATTTTTCATCACCTTCCTCTCCTCCAACCTCACCCCACCTTCTCCCGGCCCAGCTATCCTTCGCACCTATGCACGTCGCTCGAAAACTCCAACGCCACCACTAAATACCTCATAACCCTCTTCTCTCATCGTTCTCTTCCGTCCCGTCACAACGGACCATTCTCTTCACCACTCTCTTCCCTCACCCGAACCACCCATTTTCTCATCTAATCTACCCACTCCATCACCCAAACCTCTTCGTCGTTCCAGTCGTCGGACCGCTCCATCGGTCAAACTCAACGATTATGTCCGCTCCAATGTTTACTCCGATCAATCGACTTTCGAATTTCCAAGTCCGACAAAAGGTACACGTTATCCACTGGCCTATTATGTCTCATATCATAGATATACACCTGCATATCAATCCTTTATTGCTCAACTCAACGGTGTCATAGAACCTAGGTCTTATTCGGAAGCGGCCGCTCATCCTCGATGGCAAGAGGCCATGCGTTCGAATTACGAGCTCTCCAAGCAAATGGCACGTGGTCTCTCACTCTTTTTCCACTCGGTAAGACTCCCATTGGTTATTGTTGGGTTTACAAGATCAAGCGAAGTCCGATGGATCGATTGAGCGCTACAAAGCACGCCTTGTGGCCAAAGGCTTCACGCAATTGGAAGGAGTTGATTATCGGGATACTTTTTCTCCAACGACTAAGATCACTTATGTACGTTGTTTATTGGCTTTAGTCTGCTTGCCCACAGCTGGTCCTTTCATCAACTTGATGTTAATAACGCTTTTCTTCATGGTGATCTCTATGAAGAAATCTATATGTCTCCGCCACTCGGTCTTCGGCGACGGGGGAGGAACACTTGGTTTGTCACCTTCACAAGTCCTTATATGGGTTAAAACAAGCATCTCGTTAATGGTTTGCTAAATTCTGCGAGGCCATTCGTTTAGCTGGTTATGTACAATCAAAAGTCGACTACTCTCTGTTCATCGGAAAGCAAGGCAAGTCCTTTACTCGCTCTTTTGATATATGTTGATGATATTTTAATTATCGGCAATGATCTTGAGAGTATATCTACTATCAAGAAGTTTTTACATAATAAATTTTTCTTTAAAGATCTTGGTGGCTTGAAATATTTCCTTGGTATTGAGATTTCTACTTCTAAGAATAGCATCTTTATTTCTCAAAGAAAGTATGCCTTGGAAATCATTAAGGATGCGGGGTTATTAGGGAAGCTCCTATTGATACTCCCATGGAGCATGGTTTAAGACTCGTCCGATAAGAGTGAGCTACTTAAAGATCTAGGACGATATAGGCGATTGGTTAGAAGATTAATATATCTCATGGTTTCAAGGCCGGATATCACTTATTCTGTCCATATATTGAGTAGGTTTATGCGCCAACCTCGAAAGGATCATTGGGATGCGGCTCACGGGTTGTGCGCTATTTGAAGTTTGCGCTTGGTCAAGGGCTCTTCTTTTCCTCCACTAGTGACCTTCGACTCGCGAGTATATCGTGACTTAGATTGGGCGGGATGCCCACTTACAAGAAGATCTACTATAGGGTATCGTGTATTCTTAGGCCCCTCCTTGATTACATGAAAGTCGAAGCGTCGGAAAACAATCTCCCTTTTTTCAGTCGAAGCGAGTATCGTGCAATGACAGGAGCTCGTTGTGAATTGACATGGCTTCGTTACTTACTCGGAGACTTGGGTGTTTTACATCGGAGTCCGCATTGATGTATTGTGACAACAAGGTCGCATTACACATAGCGACCAATCCCGTTTTTCATGAGCATACAAGACAAATAGAGATAGATTGTCATTATATAAGAGATAAAATTCAAGATGGTTCGTCGTGACAAGACATGTGAGTTCTACAAATTAACTAGCCGACCTTTTGACCAAAGCTTTGGGTAAGGAGGTTTTCATGCCTATGGTTCGCAAGTTGGGAGTGCAAGATATTCACTCTCCAACTCGAGGGGAGTGTTGGAAAGAAAAGTCAAAGCTATCATATTCTCTGTATTATTAGTAAATATTTGTTTTCCTTATGTATTCCTTGATTCTAGTTAATATTCATATCTATAATTGATTTGTAGGAAGGAATAGGCGTGTAGACAAAGTTAGCTAGCTCGTATATATATTTTCATTCGGACATCAATAAGAATTAATTCCAACAAATTCTTCTCTGTTCATCTTTTTAGAACAAAAAAAGTTAAAAATATGGAAGGATTGATTGAAAAACAGGGGAAAAAAAAGAAACACAAAATAGAAAGCACAAAGAATGGTTTTGAAAATGTAGGGAAAGTAAAATACACATAATGAATATGTGAAAGTGATTTACAAACTCGGTTGGGCCATCGAGTATGTTCATTCCTCCAATGGACCGAACAACCTAATACTGTAAGCTATATTAGGCCGAGCTTTAATAAGCTTCTTGCTACCATAGAGCAAGCCCATATCCATTAACTTCTTTGCTTTCTCGTCATTATAACATATTATAATTATAACATCATTATAACATATTATAATTATAACATGTACTTGAAAGGACAATCGTATCTAAGCTTTTGCTATAATAAAACTAAAACGACGTCGTTTTTTTTTTTTACTCAAAACGATGTTGTTTTTTTTTTTAAAGTAATTTTTTATCAATTTAACGAGATTTTACATTTTGGTCTTCGAAGTTATTACTTTATATAAAACGAGTTCTTAATTTGAATTAATATTATCAAAAGGTCCCTATCATATTTTTTTTAGGCTAGGTTTTTTTATTAATTATTATTTAATCAAAAGAACTTTTTTCTAATCATCAATAGTTACTTTTTCTATTTTTAGAAATATTCATGAACTAAAATAAACATTCTTTTAATATAAATCGATTAAACACCTCCTTCTAATTGGATTTTTTAAAAATAAATAATTAATTAAATATTTTTTTATCCATCAAAATAAAAAAAATATTCCTAAGAAATATTTAAATTCAATTATATATATGTATATTAAATTGAACAAAATTTTTATAATGAGTGTTAATTAATTTTTATTTTATATTTATATTTTAAAATTATTTAAAATATTAAAACATGGATATGATAAACTTACCCTCAGCAACGAGCAAGTATTGAGCTGGTCCCCAACTATATATAAAAACACCAATTCCTTAAAAACTTGATCGAAGATAAAATTTCAAATTTTAACTGTCTCTTCTCTTTGATTATATGTAAGATAAATCATTTTATCTTAATACAACCTCTTTCCCTGTTCAGCTAACTACTACTTATTAAGGCTAATGCTCTGACGCTTGACAATTGATATTTGCTGCAGGTCCTATCATGCGGCTTCAGTCATTTTCCATTTCATACGCTTGAATCCACCAGAGTCCCATCGCTTTGCGAGCTTCATGTGCAAGTTTTGAATTGAACCATCACCATATAAAGTTAGTAGTCCTGCCAGAAGAGTATGAACTCAGATTAAGTATCCATTGCCCTTCCTCAACATCGCAGCAAATTCGCCATAGTCAATTTGTCCATCCTGCAGCACAGTTTTCATAACCACATAATCACATGATGCACTCAGAAGCTCTGATAACTTGCAAAACAAATAGAAAGTACATTGAAATAATTATAAAGAACGGACTTGCATTATCTTAATCAACTTCTTTGATCATCCTATCGAGGTGGAGCTCACTTAAGCCAAACTCTTTGCAGCCTTGTTGAAGCTCATCAATTATTTGTCAAAGAATGAGAAAACAGACACTTATTGGAACCCCATCAGTTTGGAGCCTAAGCTTTCAGCCATCTTTTAATTCATCAAAAGATTGTTCCTTTATTGTCTGTCTCTCATTTTCGACAAATCTTTCAAATCACCAATCTCTTCTTCAGAAAGCCTCTCTACAATGACCTAAAATTGATTACGAAAATCAGCATTCGGAAGGGTCACCATTGCAATGCCAATACATAAACACGTAAACACATATCAATGCAAGTGTATGCAGCTTGTCTCTGCGTTCGTATGTGTGTGTGTTGTGTATGGTACTAGCGGAATTAGAAAGGAAAATAAGTGCTGATATCATGACTAGCCTCATCTACAACAAAATATAATTATGGGGAATGGCAATTCTATATATCAAGCAGATTAAAACTAAAATTTTCATTGAATATGTTAAGCAACAAGATCAAGGAGTTTAGGTATGCCAGTTTACTGCACATCCAAAATCCATCTCCTTATATTATTCTTAATGTTTCTTTAACATTACTCGTACAAGTTTAGGCCCTGCATATGTGATAATTATATTAATTATATGTCATCATATGTGGTCAATACTTTACCCACAGCATGACATTAAACATTTTTTAAATTTTCTGTCCCTTAGTATAATCAGGCCTTGATATCTTACAAGTAACTAAATCAATTCAACTAACAATTGCCCTAGTTAATGAAGAGACACACGCATAATGACATATATGAAAGCAAACAACTGTACCTATGCAAGAATCTTACCTTAAAAATCATCTTCTTAAGTTTGTTTGCTGAAAAGAATTGATTTGGGGGTAACAAAACATCAGAATCTAGAGGTTAATCGGGGGCAATTCCGTGATCCACAATCCACAGTGACCTGGAACAGAAGGTCACATAGGTAGCTTAATGTTTTAAGACCCACCAGTATTGACCACACTATGACTTGTTTGAGCCTAATACTCCTAGCTTTACCTAAATCAAATTAAAGACACTAAGACACTTAAATGGTACTTTCTGAGCATTTAGCCTTTTCTTTGGATTGCATTCAAGCCTTGTTTTTATGAAGTCCTTGGCACTATCTAAAATGCTAGTACATGGTTTAGACTCAAAATCTGTTTCAAGATCCCCATTTCAGTTCCTGGAGTTGACAAGGATTTAAAAGAAATCCATATTGTCAGTATATGTTATTAGCATTAGAAACTATCCCAATCCAATACTTGATCTCTCAACAATGCATGAGCACCAAGACGGTTACCTGCCCAAGAAGGTGGCACACCATGTAACAGCATGTACAAAATAGTATCTGCACTCCATACATCTGCTTCAGGTGCATAATGCCTCCGCAACTTAGTTTTGGATTCCCAACAACACAACAAAAAGTTTCACCTGATAATCAAACATGGAAAAACATAAATCAAAGGGTAAAAAAAAAAAATTATCAAAGACAAATGAGCAAATGGCATATGCTTATTTAAGAAACCTTCACTTATATTGTTTCAATGCCAATTTACAAGACATAGAAAGAGAGGCTAACATTTAAAAAATCAGATCTGGAAAAAACTTAAAAGAGGACAACACTCAGAATTTCAACAAGAGGAAAAGGAAAGAAAGCTTGAAGAACAACTCAATTGGCTGAGGGCGAAGAGAGGTGGAGTATGCACTGATAGAAGCTCTACCAAGTGAATCAAATTCAATTAATTGAAGAAATGAATGACACATTTGAAACCGAACAGCTAAAAAGAAATCAACCCAAGCATCACGTTAAAGAACTTCAGTAACCTCATCAAGGAATGGCCGTCGCAAAATGAAAGTTAGACATGCACTATAGAGTCTAAAATCCCAATATTATACAAACAAATAAATAAAACCCAACAGCAGAATCCGTAGATTTAGAAACAGGGGCAAAAGGCACAAAATAGAACCTGAGTGACATCTTCTGTTATGTTGAAAGCACCAAATTCTCTCTGCTTCCTTTCCTTCTACTACCACTACTGTTTAGGTGGACTGTAAGGTGCATTTGGAGCTGATAAATTAAGTGGCCCACATCGCATATATGGGCTTCAAGTGCTAATCCTGAAATGAATGTTGCGGCTCCATTTACTATGGGATTTCACAACATGAAAAAATTGGTCAAATAAGATAAAAATGGTTCATGTTTCAAAAGGAAAAAGATAAACATTGTCCAAGATGATAAGAGAAAACAGAGTACTAATTAAGAAGAATCTGAGGCAATTTACAGTATAAAGCCATTAAATTTCAGAAAAAAAAGAAAAAATAGTGCCATTGCCTATAAAGATAGTTTCATATGCTGCATAAGCCTCGTAATACCTAAATAACAAGTACAAACCACCATGTGGATCTGTCGCATAATGCAAGACTTCAAGTTCTTTAGCAGGAAAATTGTACAGTCTACAGTCTGAAGGCTTTTTCAAATAGATTGCAAGTATTTCGGGGGAGAATTAGGACGGTGAGAGCAAGCACTACTATACCTCATCACACCAACAAACAAAGTAAATACTTCAATTTTACAGAGACATCCATTACTAGTTAACAGTTGTTGAATGCTTATACAGCAAATGGTTCTGTATCTAGTAAGACTAAAAAGCGTTGTTCAATCCTTCTACAACTCGATTAATAACAACTTCGTGTTAGACATTTCATCAGACAGTTGGTGTTCAGTACTTCCAAAAGCTACTACACAGATGGTCTCTCTTTATATTTACAACGTAAAGATCCATGACTTTGGACAGGAATTTTAGGTTTTGTATATTTAAGTTTCTCTTCTTTTATAAATGTATATATTTGAACAACAAAAGCCAATTTAATTATTAGAATTCAAAGCCAAATGCAAGGGTTGGAAATCAAGATAAAAACCAAATATACAACTTAAAGAAAGATCATCCCCAGGAAGAAGAAATTACAAATTACAGGAGGAAGAAGAAGAAGAAGAAGAAGAAGAAGAGAGAGTGCAAAAAGGATGCAAGAAATCCGAACTTGCATAGTAGCAACTGGTAAAAACTGAGAATGAGTGATTCATCAATTTGAAAGAGAGAGAGAGAGAGAGAGAGAGGAATTATAACATTATTACCAGCGATGGTAAAAACGCAGAAGGGCGAAAAGGACATCCTTAGCGTTAGGATGCCCCCACTCCACTACTGATTCCATCAATGGTATCTGAAATATCGATACATAGCAATCGTCAGTGGGTGGGTGTGAGACTAATTCAAAAATAAACGCAGAGAGAGTGGGGATTCAAAACATATATAATGCTTACCAAGGCGGAAGAAGTCAGGTTTAGGGCTTCCAAAACCATACCAAAGGGACGAAGGATATCATTAGCATGCTCCCACAATTCTTGTGGATATATCTGGACTTTTTTAAGAGAAGGGGGAGGAGATGGAAAGCAACGAAAGACTTGATATCACTGATCTTTAGCTTGAGACAATCAGTTTTACACTACAAATGCTTTTCAGGTCTGGTAAATGTTGCAATACCAGAAACCTTAACTTCGGGAGACTGAATTCTTCACCCATAACCCCTTCTTCATCTCCTCTTGCTATTATCTCCTCCATTTCCTCAAAACAAATGACTTCCATCTTTTCCAAATTTACAAGCTCCATGCTATTGCAATCACTGATCTTTGATGATCATCAGTTTAGATGCATACTTTATTAATGACGGAACATCGTATAAATTTGCATTTGCATCATTACAATCAAAAATCACCATCTCTTCAAGGTTATTCGGGAACTTGAACTGAAAATCTCCATCTCTATTGATACTTAATTTACCCAACACAACTCTTTTATCTATGCCATCACCAAATCCAATCAACCGTCCTGCACGAATTTTATATTTGCTTAGGGATTGGGTCCCATCTCGATATTTGATAAATTCCGCAACCTCAGAGAGATGTTCAAAACAGCATTCCAAAGTTTCCAACTTCCTCAAGCATGCTACTTCCTCTACCTTAACCGTTACTGGAGCATATTCTTTATCAACCAATAATTCCTCTATTATCAAGACCTGCAGGTGAGAAAGTTTAGGTAATATCCCACTAGGAAACTCCTTTTCACCACCTCTATTCAGTCTGAGATACCTCAAGCTGGATAGACATTCTAAACCTTGAGGCATCTTTTCAAGTGAAGTACGTGAGAGATCCATCTCGAGATAATCAAATCCACCCAGCTGTTTTCCTGCACGAATTTTATATTTGCTTAGGCCTTGGGTCCCATCTCGAAATTTGATAAACTCCACAAAGTCAGAGAAATGTTCAAAACGACATTCCAAAGTTTCCAACTTCCTCAAGCATGCTACTTCCTTTCCCTTAACTGTTACTGCAGTTCCAGTAACCCAATATTCCTCTATTATCAAGACTTGCAGATGAGAGAGTTTAGGTAATATCCCACTGGGAAACTCCTTTTCACCACATCCATTTAGTCTAAGATACCTCAAGTTGGATAGACATTCCAAGCCTTGAGGCATCTTTTCAAGTGAAGTACCTGAGAGATCCAACCTCTTTAGCGTCCTGAGCTTTTTCAACGATGGTACATCCCTTAAGCTATAACACTCTTTGAGCAATAATGCATTTAGACTCACCAAATCGGAGACAGAATCTGGCAAGTTTTTAATACCTGTACAAGACAGATCAAGAACCTTGAGCCCACGCAATTCCTTGAAAAAAGAATCTGCAATAAATCTCAATCCGAAATTACGGTTTAACAACAAGGTTGAATGACTAGAAGGAATTTCCTTGAGATCACCCCACAAAGGGGAGAGTCTCACCCGATCTTCTTTCCACTTATCCACATCTGGTAATTCTTTACCAACCATTACTGGAGACTTCGTTTGCAATATTTGGTGGGCTATGTCCCTAATCAAGTCATGCATCTTGACAGCTCTTTCACCAGAATAAACTATACAACTTTCCAATAAGCAGAAATTTTCAAGTTTATTAAGCATCGTATGGCCCTCATCAAATTCTGCCTGTCTGCTGTCCATCCCTTTTATTATTCCCTCATCTATCAAATAACTTATCAAGTCCTCCCTCCTAATCCTATAATCTTCAGGAAATAATGCACAGTATAAGAGACATTGTTGTAGTGCAAAGTCATTTAAGCGATCATAGCTAGACTTCAATGCTCCAAATACCACATCTTCCATATCTCTACATTTTGATTGTTTCAATTTCTCTAGTGTATTCCTCCACTCATGTAGGTCATCCACTCCCCTCATGCTTCTTGCTACTGTAATAATTCCCAAAGGCAAACCAGCACACTCTCTCATGACACATTCTGCAACTTGTTCAACTTTAGGAGAGAGTATAACATCATGTGTAAGTTTCTCCATGAACAAAGTCCAAGCTTCTTTATCGGATAGAACTTTCACTTTGATTTTCTGTATACAGCCCATCCTTCGACAAACATCTAAAGATCGAGTTGTAAGAATCAGCTTACAACCTTCCATTGGGTCAGGAATTCCCACCTCGTGTAGCTCAAAAGATTTCCACAAATCATCTAAAATAAGAACCCATTTTTTTCTCTTCTTTAGTTCTTTTGACAAATTGACAGCTCTACGTAGCTCATCATTTTCATTCGAAAGATCTAGTTTAAGACATTTAGCAATAAGATCCTGCAAACTATTAATGCTGAAATCCTTTGACACAGTAACCCAGTAAACATGGTGAGAAGACTCTTCTAGAAGCTGATTGTGGATATGTTTCAGCAATGTCGATTTACCCACTCCTCCCATTCCATAAATGCCAATTCTCGAGACCTCGTCATTCATTAACCAGGACAATATCTCATTCTTATTCTTCTCAAATGCTTCTCCCACTAGCTTTGTAGAGCAAGTGGGTAATGCATCTCCTATAGTCACACGGATGTTGTGCATAAGCCCTCCAGAAGAGCAAGGACCTACAACAGGATGCAGTAATCCTCCAGAAGAGCTAGGACTTCCAACAGGCTGCAGTAATCCTCCAGAAGAGCAAGGACCTGCAACAGGCTGCAGTAATCCTCCAGAAGAGCTAGCTCCTGCACAAGGCTGCAGTAATCCTCCAGCCGAGCTAGGACCTGCACCAGGCTGCAGTAATCCTTCAGAAGAGGTAGCACCTGCACCAGGCTGCAGTAATCCTTCAGAAGAGCAAAGACCTACAACAGGCTGCAGTAATCCTCCAGAAGAGCTAGCTCGTGCACAAGGCTGCAGTAATTCTCCAGAAGAGCTAGGACCTGCACCAGGCTGCAGTAATCCTTCAGAAGAGGTAGCACCTGCACCAGGCTGCAGTAATCCTCCAGAAGAGCTAGCTCCTGCACCAGGCTGCGCTACTCCTCCAGTCCCATTCTCTGTATCATCCTCCATTAACCAATGGGAAATCTCATCCAATCTTCTTTCCATTGATTGACCCGCTAGATCTGGTGCTTGTGGTGCTTCTCTAGTTTCATCTGCATCAACAATACGCTCCTCAGCAGTGATCCTTGTGTCAATATGCATCATTTCTCCAGCCATGTTCTCCCTGAGATTTCCTGATTCCGCATGTAAAGAAGTCCTCCCGTCTCCAACTACTTGCTCAGTGCCCTGGACTGCTATTTGTATCCTTTCTGCATCTCCAGCCAAATTGACAACTTCATTGTTTTCTACTTGTGGACAAAATGAAATGGCATTATTATTAACATTGCTGGAATTTGCTATGGTTTTCTGTCTTTTGTTGCCACCACGCATAGCTAGGAAGGCTGCTTCTTGAACTTCTTTAGGGACCTGACCACAAATGGCAACACCATGGCCTTTCTCTCCTGATAAATGCCATTTGATCCTTGAAATGGAAGTATCCTTGGCAAATGGATGCCAACAGAACTTACACTTGACACTACCATCGTTCATCTCTTCAACATAATTCCAAAATGGATCATTCGATCGAACCATTTTTCTCCTTCTCCTTCAACAAGGCCTATAGAAAAAAAATATATATATATACATTTGTCAAAATATTGAATAAAAATTAACAAAAGTCAAATTAATCGGGAATGAACATGCTAAATCTAAAATTATAAGTTTGAAGAATAAAAAAATGATATTATATATTTTTTTGTCACTAATATTAAAATATCTACAGCTTGCCTTGCCTTTCCCTTATTAGATTTTAAACAACAAATTCTACAACATGTCAAGAATTTTAGTATAAACAGTAGGGCTTTTTATTTGCAAGAAACAAGCAATAAGTACAGAAAACAGCATGCTAAAAAAAAATAAAATAAAATAAAGAACATGGAGTACATGCCTGCAAAATATTCTGAAACTACGTACTGGTTTTGCTCAAATCAGGATTGGAATAGAACGAAAACAGAGAAAAAGAACAGAAAGAAGAGAGAGACTTGATTAGAAAATGAGAGGTGTGGAAGAGATTGTTACAGTAGATACCATAATTATTGAAATTATAAGGGAAGCAAGCTCAATAATGTAGTTCCGCTTTACTTCGCTTCCAGGAAGCTGCGGTGTTTTTTCCAACCCTTTTAAATTTTTGTAAATTATAAATTAGTCTATTTAGTTTTTTAAAATGAATTGAGTAGTCCTTTTAGTTTCAAAAACTAATTAATTAGCTCCTATATTTTTATATCTATTTGTAACTTAACCTATTTTGTTCTTTTTTATTTATTTTAATTTTTTATTTGAATAAATAAAAAATAAGTGAAAAATAAGAAACATTTTTTTTAAAAATATTTTTTGAAATAAAATAATATTAAATTAATCACTATCATTGGTTAATCTAATACCTCCTGCCTGCAAAATGTTGTTAAAATAGGTACTGGTTTGCTTAAGCAATCCAAAAGAGAGTACAAAAAATAAATCTGGTAAGTAAAAGGACGAGATTTGGAAGAGTTGGTAGCCGGTTGCCAGGAACCATCATTCCCAGGTGACCCATTGACCATTACGATACTTCCAGTAGCCAGCCAGGTTGTGTCCTTACGCGTTGAGGACACGGCATTCCCCACTGCTACTTGAATAAACAAGCGTCTTGACAGAGAAACTTTTTCTTTTGGTGGAAAAATCTCCATAAACAAACCATTACTAGCCATCAATTCATACTATAAATCAAATTAAATTAAGCAAAATTGGAAAGTTCTTAACGTGTCCTCACCATGTTCTAGGTGAATTTGGACATTTACATTTAATTACTAGTATAATTATTAATTACATACAATGATATTAACAAGTTATTGTTTAATAATAAACGAGTTGATTCTCAAATGAATTTTTTAGTATTTGAATTTTAGAATTTTAGTTATTAAAAAAATTAAATTTTTATTGTCTTAACTCAAATATAATTATTTATTTCATTTTCTAGAAATATGAAATGAGATTACTTAGAAATAAATAAAATTACATGCAATGATTAATTTTTACCATGCCATGAGCCATATGAGGTTCTTCCTTCAAGAGGAACTCAAATCTTGAGTTTTTTTTTTTTTTTCATGATAAGATATTTTTAAATCTTATTTCTCATAATAAGATAGTTTTAAATTTAATTATCAAAATAATATATTATATGTCACGTAGAATCAATCTCATTCATAAAAATTGACATTTCATTTTTATTTTAAAAAATCATTTTTCTAAAAAACCTTTCTACAATCACAAATTAATATCCTCCTCATTATCTTTAGTACTTTCAGCTTTTATAGAGTTTTTTTTTTTTTCAAAACAGTATATTTTTAAATCTTATTTGTAAAAATAAGGTTTTTTTAATTTTATTTGTCAAAACAAAGTAGTTTTTACTATGTTGATCAAGTTTTAATCTTATTTATTAAAACAATGTAGTTTTTGCCATAAGGATCAAATTATTTACACATATCATTTTTTTTAATACGAAATTCACTAATAATTTTACAAAAAAATATTATTTACAATATACTCACTTTATTAGTTATGATTATTAGATAAAATCAAATATTAGTAGATTCAATCTCATCAACTCATCAACAAGATCTAAATATAATTGTTCTAATAAAGTCAAAATAAACAAACTTTCAAGAATCAGCAACTCCAACTCTTTCTATAAAATTGAAATGGCTCAATTCCAAGAGCATAAAAAAATAAGGCTAAGGTCAACAAACCCAAAACAAAATTATTGTCTGCCAAAGTATGACTTTCGTTGTTAAGGGTATTTCTTACTGGTAGTCACAAGACCAGAACCTAGTAACACATGTCTGGTAACAGTAGCTGCCAAGGTTGCCATGTTATTGGCTCGTCAACATTGATATGGGATGCTTCACGCATTCGAACAAAATTGCTACCGGATTGGATGGCCCCACTGATTAATTAGCGTATTATTATTTACTGGTTTTGGATTTTGGGTTTTTTAAACCAGCTCCCTCTATTTAATTGTTGAGCCGTTTTATTTTTGACCGAGAGAGTTGCTACAGAGTTATTGATTCTTAAAGATTTATTTATTTTAATTTTATTAAAATAATTATTTTTAGATCTTGTTGGTAAGTCGATGGGATTAAATTTATTAATATTTAATTTTTTTATTTAATAATCATAACTAATAAAATGAGTCTATTGCAAATGATATTTATTTTTAAAATTTTCTAAAATTATTAATGAATTTAGCATTAAAAAAAAAACTAACACATGTAGGTGATTTGATCCACGTGATAAAAACTATCTAATTTTGATAAATAAGATTAAAGTAATCTTATTTCTATAAATAAAATTTAGAAGTACCTTATTTTACAAAAAAAAAAAAAAAAAACCATTTTTTTTTTTTTTTTGTCCTTTGTTTTTTTTTGCTTTCGTTCTCTCTCTATCTTCCTGTGTCTCATAACATTCTTTATTTTTCCTTCTATATAACAATCTCAAGGTGAAGAAGAGGCCTATCTCAAAAGTACATGCCAGTGACAAAAGGGAGGACAAGCTGGAAGACCAGTTTATGACTCCCTAATTGCAGCTTGAGATATCAGGCATTGTAATTTTTGAAAGGAAGATCAATTATTCCAACTTGCGAAGCAATGGACAAGGTAATTGTGAGCAAGCATTTCGAAATAAGGCTTCGCAGAATTACACAGTAATTGGAGATCAAGGAAAAAGTATCCCAAAAGCGAATCATCATGCACCTGTCAAATAAAACAAGCAATAGCCATCTTCGGATTAAACAAAAGGAAAATTTATCCAAAATCTCTGATATCTCTTTATTTCAGTGTGGTTAAAGCAAAGTAAATAATAATTGAGCAACCTTTCACAAATCAAACCACAAAATGATAAATTCAATCAAACTAAACATAAGGGCATTTGGGAATTTGATCCAAAAACAGATCTACAAAACCCAAAACCTCTATAGTCTCAATCTTTCACGAAATAAACAACAGAGGTTGTAAAAAAGAATAAATTAAACAAAGATAGAGCACTGGTAAAAGAGAATAAATTAAACAACAGAGTTCAGAATTGAGAGAGAGATAGAGAATGAGAAGATTGAATTTAGTTACAAAGTAGAGCACAAATATGAAAAAAGGAAAAAGGGTTTTGCGTGTTAATAAAAGTCATTTCGGATGAGTTCTGATAAGTTGTTTTGTTCAGCCAAAAATGTAGCTTGTAGGAGGTTGGTTCTTCTTGTAGCCAACTATCGAAGGTATAAAAAGCATAAGATCATGAGTTGATGCAGAGAGAATATAGTAAAAAAAAGTAATTTACGATGATAACATAATTTTTTAACAAAAAGAAAATAAAAATGACATGTCAATTTTTTTAAATGAGATAAATTCCAAGTGACATATAATACCTTATTTTGATAATTAAGTTTAAAACTACCCTATTATTATAAATAAGATTTAAAAATATACTATTATAAAAAATAATAATAAAAAAAACTCCTCAAATCTTTCTAACAAAGAAGTATTAAATGCATGAACATGCTTAAGCAGAAAAGATGCAGATTCCCAATTTAAGGAATTGTGAACGGTCATTGTCGAAGATTTCAAAATCGAGGACAAACTTCTAAACAAAGGAGATCCACTAAAACATACACCTAATTGGAATTTTAGGTAACTGGCTGGCAGTCTGCTGGTAAATATACAGATAAGTTATAGTATTCGATTCTTATGATAAATAGTTTTAAAATTTTATTTTTGAAATATTCAAAATCATGCACTAAGAAGTATCGCTTAATCACATTCAAGAAGAAATTAGTTTCAAGATACAAAAAAATTAGTCGGAGACACTTTTATTGCTAACCCTAAAAAAAGAAAAAAAAATTTGGAATTTTAAATTATGTATCCAGAAATCCGACAGCTCATAGATCATTGGTGTTCAATTCAAGAGCGTTTCAAGAAATTGCTTGGAGTGATTTCCTTTCTAATTAATTCTGAAGTTTTCTCTAAACAGCTTGTAAGGGAACCAATATAGCATGATTCCTGCTCCAAAAGGAAGGAAAGTGTGAGAAGATATAAATTAAGAAAAACGAAGCAGCTGAGAGACGGCAAAATGACTGAGAATTAAGGCTTACCACTAAGAAATGGAGATGTCAAGGAGGTAGTTCCTACTCCATTTTGTTGCATGATTTGAAGGATAAAATCACATCAGCTTCTTGAGCATTTTCCAGTATCTCCCCGTTCTGGAATGGTTTTGGGCTCCAATCTCTAGCAGAAGAGAGGACATAATTGAAACAGTTTTTTCAAAAAAAAGGGACAAAATATATGATCACCGGCATATTGCAATTCGAACAGACAAGTAGAATATATTACTTCATTTTGGACTTCTCTTGATATTGGACTGTATCGTCTAACGTTCAATTTATGTTTAGTATTTTAGAAGAGACCACAAGAAATAAATGTACAAATGCAGACATGGATGACTTGCTTAATTTTTATTTTGAAGATCCGAATAGAAAAATGACAGTATTTTTCATTTCATCATCGATCCTTATAAGGTAATACTTGAACTTTGTAACGTTTGGGATTTCTCACCAAGTATATGATTCATTTTTTATTCCCATGCCAAATGAAAGGCGATCCTTCTGATTCCTTGCCATTTCTATATTATTTTTTAAAAATATTTATAAATAGTGAAATATTTTTGAATTAATTTTCGAATCTATGGAAACTAATTTTATTATTTTTTTAGAATAAATCATATCTAGAATATATTTTGAAGCAAATCAACCAAAATCTAATACAGAAATAGTACAAATTAGTACAATTTAATGAAAGGATTAAATACTTTATAAAATAAGTGACAATTAAAAAAAAAATTTGGATGCTCACCAATATATATCCAACAACAAATCACAAGACTCAAACAATGACCAAAACAATGCCATTGATTTTCCACTATTTTCTAGTATCCATGTTGCTATTTGGTTGCATTGAACCAATTCAACAAGCCCTATGAGCTCCTAGATTTTTCTTTTCCATTATATGACTTCATGATTTTATTTTATTTTTTTTTTTAGGAAAAGAAAACCATGACTTTCTATTTATTTTTTAAAAATAATTACTTCCAATTTGAATGCAACAAAAAAGGAACTTATAACGATATATATATATATATATATATATATATGGTAAGTGGATAAGGTAAATTATGATTAATTACATTTATATCAAATAAAAATACTTAATTACTTAACCAAAAAGCAAAAAAAAAAAAAAAAAAGGTGAACCTTCCTTTTTCTTTTTTATGATTCAGCAATTACGAGAAAATTTAATTTTTATAATAACATTACGATTGACCTGTTATGTTTTAAATCTTACCTTTGATTTTATCTTACCTTTGATTTTAAATTCAATGATTTGAATTAGGTGAAGAAAAAGAAATAAATAAAATCTTTAAGTTGTTTCTATTTTTGTCATATTCATTTTGAATTTAATAATTTAAATTCAGTGAATGTGACAGTCAGCATGATCATATTTATGTTTATAGTTAATCATTTTCATAATTAATTAGCAACCTTGATCATAATGCATTTGATTACACAAATGATTTTGCATCATTGACAACTCTATCCTTAAACATGAATTAAGTTATAACATTTTTTTTGTGATTTTTTATACTTATCTTCACCATCATTTTTCTCTATAAATTGCAACATCTCTTACAATCTCCCCATTTACCAAGTAACTAAGCAACCATTTGCAAACATGGCGTCTTCCTTGACTACTTCCTTTTCTCTTCTTTTCATTCTATTTAACCCATTTCTTGCATTGGGGTCCAAGCCGATGCCATTCGAAGGTAGTAAAGCAGGTGCTTGTTTCAAGTTCACCGTTCATGTAATCAATGGCTTTAGCAGCAATGCACAACCATTGCTTCTTAACTGTTGGTCTAAGGATGATCAACTTGGAAACCATACTCTCTATAATGGTGGAGACTTCCACTTCAAGTTTGGTCTAACAATTTTGGGGAAAACCAAATTTCAATGTGATTTCAAGTGGGCTGAAAAGCATCAACATGTGGATGTTTTTACTGATGGCAAAGAATCAGATTTATGTTGTGATACTAATTCTTGCTATTGGAAGGCAGAAGATGATGGAATCTATTTTTGCAATGACAACCAGAGTTATGTAAAGAAATTTGACTGGTTAATATAGTATTATGTTCCTGTCCAAACATTTCATCACAGTACAAATAAACAGCTAGCTAGCTACCACAGCTTTTTGTGGTTTTCTTTAAATTGATGAATAAATTTTTGTTAATCTCTTTATGCCCGTGTTTTGTTAAGATCGGTGCAATCTGTTGTCCTTTGTTTTAAATTTTGTGGTTTTTTTTTTTTTTTTTTGTGTGCTTTTATTTATAATCACTTCCTCCTTTTCTGTTACAAAAAGATTGTCTGATTTTTATTTATATATGTTTCAAAATATTTATTTCGTCAAAGTTTTTAATATTATATTTTTCTAAATACTCTTTTTTATAATGCAAAATGTAATTGGATATATTTTTTCCTTAAAAAAAAAGGATTAGTTTAAAAAATTATTGTTAAAAAAAATACTAATATGACATTATAATTAATAATTTTCTTAAAATGTATGAAAAATCAAAAGGAATATTATTATGGGACATAAGAATAAAATCTAGAATCCATCATTGTTTTGTAACTGAAAAGAAAATAAAAATCTTAAGCTTCAGCCCATACATTCTTTCCAGATCATAAAGGATGATATGATATGAACGCAATATTTTCTATCAAAGAATGTGAAATAATCTACTTATCTTTCCATATCCGCTATGGAAAAAAAATATATCTCATATATATTCCTCATGTCAAAGAGATTTTATTGATTTATGCTAGTAACAAAAAACTAGAATGTAACAGAGGAGAGACAAAAAGCAATCGATATTAAAATTGAATGTTTGCTGAAATGGAAATTAAATCAATTACTGAAACAAACAAATTAAAAACGTTGCCTTATTATAAATAACATGACTATGCAGATGTCAATCCATAAAGTTAATGGATAAACATATCTTATAAACTATATGCTATTGGATTTAGGTAATTCTTCTATAATAAAAATAAAAAATAAACCTGGTTGTTATTTATAATTATCTAGTGATTTTAATACAATTCATAAACAAATCCTTTATTTTTATTTACAAAAACTACATAAATAATCTTAACCCCACTAATATTTTTTCACTTTAACATATTCATGGCGTAACCATGAAGCTTTCTCAAGTCATATCGTAGTAAAGAAATGGCCATGAACAAAAAAAAAGCTGCACAGTCACTAAACCACAACATATTGCAACAATGTAAGAGAAAATGGAGAAATCCGACTTATTTTATTGATTCGGAGAGAACTACAAAAACATGTTCTTGCTAGCGAGCTAGTTATTATTTGGAGATGAATAAAATGGATTCGACCCAAAATACACAGGCCAATCAAATTTCTTCTGATAATTCTGGTTATCAATGCTAAAATAGATGCCATCGTCCTGTGCTCTCCAGTAGCAAGAACCGGTATCGCAACATGTCACTGATTCTTTGTTTGCAGTAAAAACATCAACATGTTGCTTCTTTTGGCCCCAATCGAAATTACACTCAAAATGGGTTGTGCCAAAGGGTTTCACACCAAACTTGAAATTGAAATCTCCTCCATTATAGAGTGTGTGGTTTCCGAGGTCATCTTTCTCAGACCAGCAATGGAGTTGGAGTGGCTGTTTATTGTTGCTAAAGCCATTGATGACATGAACCCTAAACTTGAAGCAAAAGGATATTTTGCTATCTTCCAAGGGTATTGGTTTGTAACCTAATGCAAGAACCGGGGAAGAAACAAGAATGAAAATAAGGACAGGGAAGCAAGTGTTAAAGCTGGAAGACATCATGCTTGCAAATTTGTGGTTGTTTAGGAGAAATGTTGTGCATTAGCCAACTAATGGTGCTGAAATTTATAGAGAGAAATGATGGTGAGGATATGATTGGCGTGAACTATTATTTCATTTTAATATCAACTTTTAAAAAAATAATTGGATGGATAAAGTTAATTAGTCAATATTTACTTAATAAATCTCTAAATTTAGCATTTTGAATTAATACTTACTTTCCATATATCCTTATATAGATATATCCTAAAATGTTTGTTAATCTCTTTTATGTCCATGTTTTGTTAAGATTGGTGCAATCTGTTGTCTTTAATTTGTTTTAAATTTTGCTGTTTTTCTGTGCTTTTATTTGTAATCACTAGAGATTGTTCCATTTCTATTTATATTTGTTTTCAAATATTTGCTTCGTCAAAGTTTTAAATATTTTCCTTTTATTTTGTAATGTAAAATTAAATTGGATAGATTTTTTGCTTTAGGAAAGTTTGTTAAAAAAAAAAAAAACTCATGAAATTATCGAAAATGCTGTAATTCAATGAATGGCTAAATTACAAGAAGGTTACATTGATTCCTTCAAAAATTCATGATATATATATATGGCAACCATTTAATTTGTTTGAATAATTGATTTAATTTGCATTCCAGCCTACAATATTCAATATTATAATTAATTTCCTTGCGTCTATCCTCTGTTAGATTCCTGTTTTTGTTACTGTGCATCAATCAATAAAATCTCCTTTGACATGGTGAATATAGAGTAAATTATAAATTAGTCCCTCTAGTTTTTAAAACAACTTAAATAGTCCCTGTAATCAACATTTGCCATGGGAACAACAACAAGATAAGTTGTGTAAATGAAGAAACAACTGAGATTTTGTGAAATAAAAACATGGATAGATATAGATAACATCATTCACCCAACTAATATGAGAAACAAACTAGGAAATGTTCCAAGCATGTAATTTTCAATGTCTGAGTGACTGCCTTCTCAAGGCCCTTCCAATGATCATCTCATGATCAGAAAGTACAGTGAAGCTCAAATTTTTATATATCACTGTGTTTAAACCTCACGAGATACTTCCCAGCATGAGGCTCCGATAGGCAGTGAAGTTAGAAACAGAGAAAAAAATGGTGGAAATTCAACAATAACCTTTGGAGGACTACAAGAATATGAATCTCCTCCATTCCTAGCCAGAATGAGCATGAAAAAATGTCCCCAGAGTTTCAGTTGTGTTGTTAGTTGTAGCACAAGCTTCGTGAGATGTTGTAAAAGAACAAGCTATAGCCTGGATATGCATATATAGTGCAAATTATCTAGCCGTACCTTGTTGATGAACCAAACCAATGCTCCAAAAAATATACGAAAAATGCAATTCTCAATTGCAAAAAAAAATGTGGAAATTAAAATGTCATAAGTTGCATCTAAGCATACGTGCCAATACAAGATCATTTGCTTACTTTTAAAAAGGGTCTAGGAAAACATAACTGCAGAAGTTCGTTGGCATAAGAAGCAGAATGTATGCAATAACTCCATTGCCCGCACACTAAAATGGAAAAACAAGTGCACAGGTTATTGCCATATGAAGCAAAACGCCTATAACAAACTTGATTGTTCACACAACCATGCATGCGGAATGTAGCACACAAAATAAACAAAAAGGAAAATGAAAATCATGTAACTTTCAATGGAATAGCTAGAAGCTAAATGATGTCCATTTTACAAAACTGTCTAATTAAAGCCACCAGATTGCCGATGAACAAGGTTAGGAAAGTACAAGAGTTGCAAACATGTGCCACAACTTTTTGCATTTATACAAGTGCAAGTTCTTAGGACCCTAAACAAAGATGTTTGTGCCGTTATACACAGCTACAGAAATGTCACATGTAATGACACCATCACTGATCTGGAGGTATTTCAGTGAGAAGAGGGCTCTGCCTGTCTTCTTACAAACAGCTTCCCAATATCTTCTGTCACAACATTGCTCCTGGCAAAAGCCCAATTCAAATCATCAACAGCAATTTTTTTTTCCCTTTTCATGTACTTATGATACAATCAAAATGGTGTCCATAAATAAAATGAAAATTGCCGGCGAATAACAATGCACTGAGCCCTATCAGTTGCAGAAACACAGCATTTATCTTAAGAAGCCTCAAAATCAGGATTACACAGCAAATTAAATAGCCTATAATTTTCTAAAGGAAGTTGAGGAATCAAGTATATCTACACCTTAAGATGCAGCTATTTTAGTACAAACGAGTGCATGAGACATGGTCACATTACCATACAAAACCAAATTGCTAAGGATGCGTACAAAATGCTAACATCTTAATTTCCAATCTTGGTTAAGGACACTCAATAGCAAGCTCAAATGTTATAATGCCTCTGTCAAACAAAAGAAATATATAAAACAAAGTCAAAGAGCCAACAGTCCAGTAGGCTTTCCCAGGACAGAGCAGTTCCATAATATTGTGGCAAGCATTAACAGCACATTACTCTCTACATCCAAAGTCATATATGACACATCGTTTCCTAATCTTACAGCCAAACACTCAAGTGACTAGGGGACTCTATGTCAGCTGCTCTTGAAAATTATGTCTTCCAAAGAACTCTTACTTTTTACCCCAAGTGCAAATATAGTAAAACAACCAACAACATTTGCAGAAGCCATAATCCTAGCTCAACTTTTGCTTAGGTTATTGAATGGAAGACATACAAACCACATTATAAACACTAACTCTACCATTTCCTCCACAACCATCTTCCATTTCAACCCACAAATCTAAAACTTTATACAGCACAAAAATCACCTAACAACCTTAATCCCACCTCCATAAATAACCTTAAAACCTTAAAATGTCTCTAATTAACTATGATTCTCTAATTCAACAATTATTTTAACTGCCATTATTATTTATTAACAAACGCAAAGTAGTTGAAGGGCAAATCCCATGAAAATAACTAAATATCTTACCTTCCTTTAAGCTGAGGAGGAACTAACAAACCCCCTCCAGTATCTGGAACATCCTTAGTAGCAACCAAATTCCCTCTAGCAACTTTCCCACTCCGCGAAGACCCCACATTTAATTCTCTCTTCCGCGACGCATTCTCAGCCATTGCTGCTGATACTCGAGACGCATGATCACTCCCACTGCCAGCTGATCCAACTGTTGGCGAATTCAATAGCATTGAAGCATCCGGAAGCTTAGATATCGAAGGAAGAGGACTTGGCCCTGCTACTTGTGGTTTCCGTAATGACGACCCAGATGACCTGAAAGACAAAGAAAGGTAAAACTTTAGATCATGAACTGAAAAACCCATGATTCAAAATCTCTTCTTTTGTTTGAAATTTAAAGAATTACTGGTTGTTTTGTGGCTTTGCGGCTTGAGGTTCGATTTGAGGTCTTGGTTCTTGTTCTTGTTTTTGTTCCTGCTGTAGGTTTTCTTCTTCTTCTTCTTCTATGTTGTCTGGAACATCCTCGTCCGAGGAAGAAGCGTAGTCTACTAAAGACATCTTTTGATTCTCTTTCAGTTTCTGTTGCCTTTCTCTCTCTCCTTGATCTTGGAGACAGCTGCTTTCAAGCTCCTTTTCTGGTTTACGCTTATCATGCCTCGGCCAGTGGCTCAAGAATCTGGGCCGAAAGCAAATGAGCCCGCATGCCCAGTATTAGTGGGTAGATGTGGATGGGACTGGACCAGATACCCGGCCCATTAATCTAATCCCCTTACCTTATTAAAATATACCATGTGCTTTCCCATTCAAAAATTATCCTTCGTATGTTTAATACCCGATCAAAATAATTTTGTCAACACATTTCATTTTAATCCCTAATTTTAATACCTAGTCCGTTTAATACCTGCTAAAATAATTTTATCAACACATTTCATTTGAGTCCCTAATTTTTTTTAAAAAATATTTTATTTCTTAAAATTAATATTTGTTTACAACTTGATTTTTTTTATTTATAAGTTTTTAGGTTCTCAAATCTTCCATAAAAAATATTTGATTTCATGTTTTATTAAATTCGTGCATTCAAGTCCCTTCATGTTAATTTTTTTAATTAAAAAATTAGTGCTAGCTCTTCTGGAGGGATTACACGCAACACAAATGAGATTAAAAGAGATGCAGTACTAACAGCAAAGCTTGTGGGTCAAGCGTTCAAAGAAAATAAGAAGACGATTTGGTCTTGGTTGATGAACGATGAAGTTTCAAGTATTGGCATCTATGGGATGGGCGGCGTGGGTAAGACGACACTGGTGACACATATCTATAATCAGCTTTTAAAAGATCCGACACTTCCTGTCATGTTTACTGGATTACGTTTCTTAAGATTTCAGCATTAAAATATTGCAGAACAGTATTGCAAGACGTATTGGTTCAGATCTCTCCAGTGAAGAGGAGAAGCTGCACAGAGCTGCCAAACTGTCAGAAGAACAAACAGAAATGGGTTCGGATTTTAGATCATTTGTAGAATCTTTTTGAGCTACACAAGGTGGGTATTCCTGTCCAAGTCAAGGGATGCAAGGTGATTCTTACAACTCGATCAGAAAAGGCATGTCAAGGGATGGTCTGCCAAAAGATGATCAAAGTGGAGCCTCCTTCAAGCGAAGAAGCTTGGACTTTGTTCGTGGAGAAACTCGGGCATGACATGACACAACACTTCCTCTATAAGTGGAACAAATTGCAAAATCTGTGGCAAGGGAATGTGCTGGTTTGCCTTTGGGAATTACAACAATGGCTGCAATCATGAGGGGAGTGGTTGACATACGCGAGTGGAGGCATGTGTTGGGGGAATTGGAAGAATCAAAAGTTAGGCAAGATGACATGGAACCTGAGATATTTCGAATATTGAGATTTAGTTACACACACCTAAAGGATTCATCACTGCAACAATGTTTCCTATAATGCTCATTATTTTCTGAAGATTTTGAGGTCGATAAGGAATGGCTTGATAGGTCATTTGATTGATGAGGGAGTAATTAAAGGGATGAAGAATCGGCAGGCAGAATTTGACAAGGGGCATGCGATGCTTAATAAACTTCGAAATGTCTGCTTACTAGAAAGGGGTAGAAAATATGTTGAATCTGTCAGGATACATGACTTGATTAGGGACATGTCCCTCCAAATACAGCAAGAGAACTCTCCAGTCATGGTTAAAACAGGTGCACAATTAAGAGAATTGCCGGATGCAGAGGAGTGGACAGAGAATCTTGTGAGAGTTTCACTAATGAATAACCAAATTAAAGAAATTCCTTCTAGCCACTCCCCAAGGTGTCCCAATCTTTCAACTCTATTGCTATCCCATAATAATTTGCAATTTATTGCAGATTCTTTTTTCAAGGAAATGCATGGGCTCAAGGTTCTTGATCTGTCTCTTACTGGAATTGAAAAATTGCCAGATTCCGTCTCTGATTTGATGAGTCTTAATGCATTATTGCTAAAAAGTTGCGAGAATTTGTGGCACGTACCATCATTACAAAAGCTCACGACACTGGAGAGGTTGGATCTCTCTAATACTGCACTTGAAAAGATGCCTCAAGGCGTGGAATGCCTATCCAACTCGACTTATCTTGTACTGAATGGATGTGGTGAAAGGAGGTTTCCTAGTGGGATATTACCTAAACTCCCTAAACTGCAAGTTTTGATAATAGATGAGTTGGCTAGAGGAAAATATGCTCCAGTAACAGTTAAAGAAAATGACGTAGCTTGCTTGAGGAAGTTGGAAATTTTGAGATGCCATTTCGAAGGGCACTCTGACTTCGTAGAGTATCTCAAATATCAGGATGAGACCAAAACACTGAGCGGATATCAAGTTTTCATAGGACAATTGCATGAAGATGATTATGAATTAAGGAGGGTAAATTCTTTGGGAAGTAAAACAATTTTGTTGGATGACTTTAGGATCAGAAGAGATCGAGAATTTTTATTGTTCCCATATGACATTAAAGCATTGATCTTTTGCAAATGTAATGAAGCAATTAGAAGTTTATGGGATGCTTCATCATTAATAAAGTACGCAACTGAAGTTGAGGTCATCAAGATTGTGGGATTGCTGTAGCATGGAGAGCTTGGTTTCGCCTTCTTGGTTCTGCTCTGCTCCACTACCATCTCCATCTTTTAACGGCATATTTTCTAGTCTTAAAAGAGTTGCAAATGTAGAAGTATTAAGAAACTGTTCCCACCTGTTTTGTTGCCAGACCTTGTAAATCTGGGAGTGATTGTCGTTGAATCTTATGAGGCAATGGAGGATACAATAGCAAGAAGAGATGAAGCAGGGGTTACGGGTGAAGAATTCAGTCTCCCAAAGTTAAGGCGTCTGAGATTGACAGATTTAGCAGAACTGAAAAGCATTTGTAGTGCAAAACTGATTTGCGATTCTCTCCAAGTAATTGTTGTAGTAGAATGTCGGAAGCTAAAAAGGATGCCAATTTGTCTATCATTGCTTGACAATGAGCCGCCATCTGTTCCCCTTTCTCTTGAAACAATCTATATAGAACCAAAAGAATGGTGAGAGACAGTAGTGGAGTGGAACCAAACGACGTAAGGAAGTGGGAAAGTATCCAAATATGTAGTTGAATTTGGTACCCAAATTGCTTATTTTTACAAATTGACAATGGAGTAGATGTTTAGATGATCTGCCAGTTCTTTCAGATTTGCTGACAGAAGAAGACATTGGTTATTGTAACTTCTCCCTTGTTCATAGACATCATTTATAACGTGTAAATTTTGTTTCAAAGACAAGAAATTTTTACAAATGGAAAGCAAGTAAAGCTTTTTCCAGTTATTTTTTCCATACAATGTTGACAGGGAATCATGCTTTAAACAAAGCCAGATTCGTTATAGTTCAGATAAATCCATTTTTTCTCCATGACTAAAACTTGGAGATTTAGCTTAATTTTGCCCCAGGACATCAGTCCAATTTAGTAACCTAATCTTGAACTTATGAGCCCTTCAATTGATCCAATCAAAGCAAATGCTGTCACCAAAAAGCAGATGATGCTAAAGGCTTCAAGCATGATCCACTTAGTTGTCCATGCTTCAATATTTCTCTGCCTAAAATACATTTCCACAGGAAAATATATAGTTAAGGGCCAAAAGCTGAGTCCTCCTAATAGTCCAATTACTTGGTTGAAGTAAGGAAACGTCATTGCAATTGCTGTTGTTGACATGACATACATAGTTCGAAAACACAATCTGAGAAGGTTTATCTGGAAAGCTGGCAAGCATGGGAGTTTGCATGTGACATTCTTATTCACAAATCCGCTATTTGGGTGGCTTTCAGCAATCCATTTTTCAATGTTGGCAAATAATGCCTGACTAAAAACCTGTCAGGACAATAAGAATGGTAATTAAATTCATCTTGCACGATTACTTTCGCAGAATTCATGCTTCCGCCATAGTTATAATGTCATAGAATTACCTGATACGCACCGGCTAGATGGATGACAATACAAGCATTAGCAAAGTTGATGAGCCAGTATGTTTCATCGGAAAATCCAAATCCTGTCAAGAAGTTCCCTGGAGTTTTCTCTCCAAAGGCTGCATACCCAAAGCCTCCACAACTAAGGTAGAGAAATGTTGTAACAACGGTTCCTATCGTTGTTGCCTTCTTCATGCTCTTGTTTTCTGATGGAGGTGACTTTAAAGTATCCTGATCATGTTTTTCAGGGTTCATCATTCATATAATTAGCACCGGAATAAAAGTAGCAGCAGTATTGATAATCTTCTGTTAAAACAAAACTTAGGGCTGAAAATTCAGACCTGAATTTCCATAACAATCAGGGAGTATGGAAAAGCAAATGCAACATCCCCTATTGCTTGAGATACATTCCATACTTTGTCAGCTGCACTACCAGCAGCATTTCCTGCAATGCTGCCCTTAACAGATCCATTTTCTGTAATTTTAGAGACGACAAAAAAGGCTCAGCCTGGAACCATACAAAGATTCAGTAAAAGGACATGGCCATTCGCTGCTGTACCTATTACTTGTGCAAAACCCAGCGTCAATCCAGTAATGGAATAGGCAAAGGACATGATTGCAGCAAGAATTGATAACCATTGTATGTTATGGAAATCTGGTAACTGGGACAATACAAGTTGAACAGCTCCAAATAGTAGTATATATAAACTGCCTCCATATTCACAATCACCCTCATACCCTTCTTTACGGTAACACTTAGATTTCTGAATTGCCCTTCATTAGAGAAAGTAATTAATTAATAGTATGTATTGATAATGACTAGAGGGAAGCAAAGAAACTTGGCTACTAATTACTCCATTTCTCGTAAGTAAATCAAGGTAAATAATCAGAAAGATGAACAAAATTTTTTCACAAGTCCAAGAAAACCTAACCTCATGCTGGTATCAGAAGCAACAACATAGGCAATTGATGTCCCATATAAGCCTATTTGGACAAAGAGGCCACCTATCAATCCTTTTGTTTTTCCTGAATCCATGTCAAGCACCAAACTGTCAAGTCTTCTTGCCATATCACATCACATAATCAAAATGTCTTCCTGAGTAGATTTTCTAATTTGTCTACAACCTAACTTCATTTATGAGCATGTTGGTGATCTGAAATAGCTGTAGCACATTATTCCTTATCCAAATTGTCCAATGATTTCATCCTTAAGAATTCTTCATCACTTATCTATCCAAAAGATTGAGTGGACCAACACCTTTTATCCTTCCTTTTTTTCTTTTGGATCATTAGCCAAAAACAAATTGGTACTGTTTCATCGTTTTCAATATTTAGATATTTGGGAAACTAAAAATTATGCCTTCCATCTATTAGGCAGGTTTTAATTTGGTCCCTCTCCTCTTGTATATGTTACACTCTATCAAAATCATACAATATCTTCCCTCAGTCAATTTGATGTAAAATTTGTCAAAATATTACACTCGAAGCTCTATATGTCAATTTCTCTCTAAATTCTTCCATATTAATTTACTAATTAATTGCCTTGATTCTTTTCTAGCATTAACTTAATTCGTTATCACGTATCTTTAAAATCCAAGTTTATAATGAAATATTAGAAGCTTACATCTAATTAATATAATCAACTTGTTGAAATGAAAAAAACTTGTATTTATAGAATAAAATATCAAATTTGAGTGTATGTTCAGAAATGTAATTTTTTTTAATCAAAAATAAAAAGAAGTTAGAATACTGGAAATAAAAGGTTAGAGGCTAAAAGCTGAAGTAAATTGACAAATACGAGTTTCACATGTAATTTAACGAAACTACTTAATCCCCAATAGGTAGAGGAAAAAAATTTCCACAATTTGGAAAGCTTGAGGGTAACATTGATGCAATTAGTAGGATAGGGACCAAAATAAATAACCATCTAGCTGATAGAGAGCAGCCCTACATATTTTTTTAGCAACCCAACGAATGTACGTGACGTCCTTGTTTATCCATCCCCTTCGATTATTATATATACAATTTAAAGTAGAAAAAAAAAACAAAGTATGCTATCTTATAACTAAGATTAATTAATCTTGTATCTGACGTACCTAAAATCTCATGAACAGCTTCTAGATAGGACCGATTTCTTGTAGGGCCAAATTCAGGATGAGGAGATCGATAGCAATCGCAGAGAAGGAAAGATGAAAGAAGGGTGATTGAAGCAAAAAACAGCATGGCTAAAGGACCTGCAATCCATCCTAACTGAGCCAAGCTCCATGCGAGTGATAGCACCCCTGATCCTACCACTCCTGTTATTATGTGTGCCACTGCTGTCCATATCGTCCCTTCAAAGTTCATCATTATTTCATGTTAGCTATAGGGAAAAAAAAAAAATTCCGCAGAGAAGCAACTGAGATTAAGAAGAAATGGTGAGAGAAAAACCAGTTCTGTTGATGGTTGAGTTTGATGGCAGAGTAGGGTGTAACAGAGGTGCCTCTTCTTCTCCTGCTTCCACTCCCATGGCGTTTCCAATTCCAGTAGAATGTTCAGAGTTTGGCTGCAACCAAAGCCCGGCTGTTGTAATTTAGTCGGTTTCCTGTAGAATATTCACAGGTTGGCAGAAGCGCAATTCATAGACTGCAAGCAAAGTTTGGTTTGGAAAATTAGTATGACACTATTTTGATACGTGAACTGTTTCAAGACATTGACGTTTTAGTTGGTCTCTTATCATATGTATGTACATCATCACTTGCCTCACCATTATTGGAGAATTCTTGAACGACATTGCGCTGGTTTGGCTTTAGAAGTAGTTTAATAGTCGACGAAGCACTAAATGAGTTCTAACAGCTCAAGAAGTAATAGATTTAATCTGGGTTGACGCAGAATTTGATCCAAAAATACTTCACTCCTTATAAATATGAATAATAATGAAAACAATAATAATGATAATAAATGTCTTGATTTTTAGTAAAAAAATCAAAAACTAAATAAATTGTGTCATAGATATATCTATCGTAAAAAAAACTACTAAAAAAATAAAATATTTTTAGTAAATTGTTGAAAATTAAATACTTGATTTTTCACTAACTAAAAAATTATTCATATATTTTAATAAAAGAATTAAATAATCATTCAAAATTTATCATTTTTAAAAGTTAATTTGGAAAACATACACGTACACTCAAGAACTAACTAAGAGCAAAAGGGCAAAAAAAAAAAAAAAAAAAGGTATAAATCTATTATTCTTTCTTTCTTTCCCTTGCTTACAAATATTTGAAGGAAATTTTAACAAAAGATTTTCTACTATTTTTTAATAGAAATCTTAAGTTTTACAGTCTTAATTAATCTTCTTTTAATGCTTTAGTAGTTCAATATTGCTACTTCAAAAAACAAAACAAAAAAAAAACAAAAAAAACAAAAAAACAAACAAACAAGTCCACGAGTAAAACCAAAATACAATGTGATGTAAAATGCAATAACTGGTTATCTTCTTTGATACTCCCTCCACCTCAAATTTATAATACCTTTTGATTTTTTTACATAGATTAAAAAATTAAGTATAATTAATTGCATGTCTGGTTATTTATTTTCAAATTAATTTACACTAATTATTATTATCTAATTACCCCTCATTTGAATGTACATAAAAGAAAAAAAAATTGAATTAAAATAATTAAAGTAAGTTGTAATTAAGAGTATAATAGTGATACCAAGTAATTAATAGTTTGATTTTTTAATATTTCGACCATAATTTCGAAATATCTTAAAACATAAAAATAAACAATATTTTTAGAACGGAGTAGATGAGATTGTTTTTTTTTTTAAAATAATAATAATTAATGGAGGACATTTTCTTTGCTTATATTTCACTTTTCTTTCTTTCTTATTTATTTATTTATTTATTTTTGACAAGTAGGGTTTTTTTTTGGTGGTTAAAAACCCTCTCATGAGTGATATTAATTGACAGAAGTCAAGCCATTTGAGATGAGTACTTAAATGTAAAAATAAAAGAAGTTGGCATACACACACACTTGTGTAAAGGTGATAGAGTCCACCATGAAAGCAAATACATCTGGTGGGGATATAAGAGCAGTTTTGTTGCAAAATGGTCACCCAATTGCTTACTTTAGCTAGCAAGTCCTTGTCTAAAGGGGGAAAAAAACACCAAACTATGTCTACATAAAAGGAGCTGTGTGAGTAAATTATAAATTAATCCCTCTAATTTCAAGAAATAAATTACTTAATCCTCTTTATTTTTAAAACTAATTATTGAGTTTATATTTTTAAATTTTCCTATAACTGAATCCATTCATTCTTCTTCAATTTATTTTGATTTTTTTCTTTAAGAAATAACTATAGGAATTACATTAACAGTTAGAATAAAAAAGCACGAATATGAAAATATTCAGTCATTATTCTGAACAAATGATAGCATTCAACTTGCTTACAGTTATCAGACAATAGAATGAAATGTAATTATTACAACAAATAGAAGAATAAGAATACAACAATCATCTTTCCTGTTTACAGTGGATTCAATATGCACATTTTCCATCCATAATGTTCAGAGAAATCATTTAGGATATTCACAAACAATCACTTATCAACAAGTCTATCCCTGTAATTTGAATATATAAACCCACGTTTGGGAGAAGGAAATGCATCAGCAAGAAAACACAGCTTCAGGATGTTTGATACGAACTGTATACGAGTTTTGACAATCATGTCGAATGAAGTTACTTTTTTGTAAATTAATTCAGACAAAATACTTAAACAAATGTGACTGGCAACAACAATGTAAATAATGTTTCGAGTCTGCCTCTTCCTGTTTCTTTGATCCCATAAATTATGAGTCAAAATCAATCTTTAATTTACCAACATTGGTTGGGATCGGGCGGTAGGTGCTCATTCTCCCTTAAGCCTCAGGTTCGAGCTTTGTGAATGGAGCCGCTAATGTTGGGAGAGCTTTTACCCCCTTGTGGGCCCTCCCAGCTTGAATCCGGATTAGTCGGAGCCCACTGTGGTCTACGGATACCGGGTGCTCAAAGCAAAAAAAATATGGATGGATGAATTTTCTCAATTTTTCGAAACAAGATCATACCAAACATCTCTATGAGCTTAAGAATTCTAATCCATTCAATTCACACTGAACTCAATTGATCACTTTATTAATTCTGAAGAAAATACAGTACACTCATGCGATTGATAACAGAACGTAGGATCTACTGTGAGAGGCTTAGGACAACCGAATCAATTGATCAAAAAATATATCTTCAATGTCTAATTTGAAGAACTGGAAGTTGTGACCCTTAGGCCAATCTGTCAACCATCCAAAAGCAAAATATGCAAGTTCGCAAAGTGGGCGAAACACCATAAGATTTTCAGATTTGCAAATATATGGGAAGGAAAAGGGCTGTTGCTAATATATGTATATTATCCTTCATCTCTGGATGCTTTGTAAACAGGGCACTTCTAGCTTTTTCTGCTTATATATATATAATCCTTTATCCGCTTCAACTTCTGTTAAATATTTTTTGATAGCTATTTATTAAATTAGATAGAGTAAATACCCATTTACATCCCGTTCATGCCATCTCTAATAGAATTTTCATCAATGTTCGGATTTTGGAACCCATATCGACAAATTCAGCCAAAACCCGAACCATTCATTTTTTTCTTTGATAAGTATTAAAATTCATTCTTAGATTGCTAAATTGCTAGTGATTTAAAATTTACTCGTCATTGAATGGAAATATATATATATATATATATATATACATTGTGATGGCATAAAAGCAAAGATTGCTTAGTCAAACAAGCATCTTACTAGGCTTGGAAAATATGATGTAAAAAGTTCCAACAGATGAAGCAATGGATACAACATTACATAATTTTAACCACCAACTCGAATACACAGCAGACAGGACACAAACTTCTCATCCTAAGAATTTAGCAACTAAGCTTATATATGAACTAGCTAGCGGAATCTAACTTGTTACTTTTACATTCACTGGCGAGGGATAACTGCATAAGAAAGAGAGGAAGCAAAAGATGTCAAGGTTTCTGACCAAGGAGTGTTGGTCTGTAGAAAACATGGCTTTGTGCAATCTCGATGCGATCTCTCGGGTCATTCATTGTTTCATCCCTTAATGCTTCAAGAATGGCCTGCACTGTAAACTCCCTGAATGTTCAAAGACTTGAAAAGGATTAGAATGCACTTCTAGGCATAATGAAATACGTGGATCCAGACAAATGGTGAGCATCAATTATGCAACAGAGCCAAACATACCTTGTTATAAGTATCCTATATAGCATCTTCAGTATGGGGCATAGCTCAACTGGAGCAACAGGTTTGTTTTCTTCAGGATGTAGGACGCTTAACGAGGACTGACTTAGCAGCTCGTAAAATGCTTTCACCGCAGAAACACCCTGCAGAGCAAAAAAGGCAGGCTTAATATGCTGATCTACAGGAAATTGAGAACTATGAAGAACAAGTGGATCTGATCGTGCAAGGTTAAAACCAAAAAATTCACCACCAAAAGGACAAAATCAACTATGAATAACATTGCTGGTGCCGTTAAATGGCTAACAAAAGCAATAAACATCTCAAGCAAACCAGTTGGTTTTCTACTAGGGCACGGTTTCTATGGTTACAAGCACTGAAGCAACAGAGCTGTCTTAGCTAGAAAAAAAAAATGTTGTTATGAAGGTTAACAAGTATGGGATTTTTTAAAACAGAATATATGTTATAAATTCAATTTTAGTGGGCCAATAGCCTCCAAGTAATGGAGGTAGGGTTATTCCTCAGATATTCTCCTTCCCCTTCCATCCAAAAATTAGCATACGCAAGTTAAGAAGCACTTATTATACTTCTCACATTTTATATCTTGGATGACATGTATCACGCATAGATTTATATCAAATTGGTGATTCTGTATTGGAACCTCCAGGAGCATGCTACCCATTACATATAAAAAACATGATGAAAGTGTCAACTTCTAATATCATGCAAGCCCAATAGAATTGAGCACCTTAATTGACCATGCGTGTGAGTAGCAAAGATTGATACCTGAATCATTCCTTTGCCCTTGATGCTGTCTCCCATTTCAAGACTCAGCTCCCCTTTGGCCAACTTTTGACCATACCATGCATTACGACCTTTCAGTAAGGTTACATAAGTGTCGGCTAACAGGGGCCCCGCAAGTTTTTCAGGTTCTTCTGTCAATAAATGTGTGATAAATATCATCTCTGATGTACAGTGGGCAAAGTACACTGATTTACTGGTTGCACTCTCATTGGTTAGAGCTGCTACCATTCCTGTAGAATCACAATCAAGAGTTAAAATTTTCAGATTGAAGACTCAAATTACTTATTCTTACAAATGGTGCTTCCTTTTACATAGGGCAAATAACAGCCGAAAGCTAGAAAAGAATAGCATATTACATAGCCCAAAATTTACTAGCCTCACAACAACACACCCCATAATATATCTATCCAGCAGAAGCATCCTTTATTCTTCTAATGTAGGACATCAAAGAGGAAGTACGTAGCATGATAAAGCAGTCCCATTAACATATGAAAAACATCTAAATTCATTGCTGATTTAGATTAACGGCATACGGAAGCTTCACAATGCATGAAACACTGTATCACAGCTGACACAAAAATACTATCTGGCATTATGAATCATGAGTCGATATTGAGAACAAATTAGATCTTTAATTTGAGATGTGAATAATATCATTAACGAGAGTTATAATATTGACATTGGAGTATAAAGAAATCAAAGCTTACCAGCTCCTATTGCATATACATTTTTTAAACCACCCATAACTTCATGAGTAATGAGATCACCATTATCCCACACTATAAAGTGTGGCTGCCTCAAGAATTTTGCCAATGGTTTCCTCCACTTCTCTGCTCCACAAATCCGAGCATTAGCATATTCCTTATTATAAATCTCTGAGGCAATATTCGGTCCTCCGAGATAGAGAACGTTTTCCATTGGTACTCCAGCTGCAAAGCATAATGTCATCGATTATGATGTGTGAAAGGTTGAAATTAAACCGAGAACTATCACATGATTACTACTAAAAAAAAAAAAAACTAAGAGAAGAAACTTACTCGCACGGTTAATCATTTGCGTGGGGGTTATTATGCGTGGCTCTGGCTCCAACTCAGCCTCTACACCTTTGGCCAAAGAGATGATAATTGGCACTGTAATCCTCTCCTTCCAGTACTTACTAATTTCCTCGAATACTTCACGGGCTTCAGTTGATGGTAATCCATTAATAACAATATCAGCATCCCACACAGCCTCCTGTAAATTGGTCACAACCTTCAATGGGCAAAGTGGGGTGTCTATCATATTCAAGCAAAATCCATCTTTCAAAAGCTCATCGGCATGTAAAATCCTATCACCTAATCTTGCCTCGACATACTTCAAATAAGCACATCGTCTAATCAATCTCCTTAACACATCTTCCCTTGAATTGATAACTTCAAATAAATGCTCAGCTGTGGCCCTATCAACCGATCTACCAGGCCTTCTCCATATCCTTATAAGAACCTTATCTCTTAGGTGACCATAACTATCTTGCAATAAGGCAGTAAACACACTACCCCAAGCACCTGCCCCAATGCCAACAATCCTCAACGGATCACCTTCTGCTTTGCCTATCAGAGCGCGAAGCTCATCAAGCTTCTCTTCTAAAACGCCATTTAAGTTCTGAATTGACCCATTTGAATACACACTGTGATTCATTTCTTCTGTATTTTCAACCATTTTCTACTCCCCCTCAATTACGACAAGCTTCAAAAGTTTCAATAAAAGAACACAAAACTACTTATACCACTTCAAAAACCTTACTTGGTGATATATCCTAAGCTTCCAAGGCAAAAATCTGGTATTTAAAACCACTGATTTTGAACAAACACAATTTTCAATGGATTTTGGAACAATTTAATCTAAATTGTTAAATCGGTTCTATCCCTCGAGCAAATATAAACACTCAAATCAGCAAATCAACTAGCAAAAGAATAATAACAAAAGATTTTATAGGTAGGTTTTGTCGGAAAAATAAAAAACAATTCGTCTAGCCACTATTGACCTTCTAGAAAATGACATAAAAAGATGCAAAATGGGTTTTGCCACACGGCTTTTCTATGGCATAAGCAACATCTATCAAGAAATCCCTCATAAGAAATAACCAAGAAATGCTAAAAAGATCCCAACTTTGACAACAAAGTCTAGAACTTTGGCCAGCTAATCAAAACCAAACACAGTCAAACGTAACAGGTAAACTCACAGAGGAAGGAAAAGCGAAACAAACATTGATTGTCAGTTTCCTCGAACCAGAAAAAAAAACACACCAAAACACCGGCTCTGCTCCTGAATTAACAGAATGCTTCTCGTGTCTTGAGCTTTTCTTACAAGAAAAAGAGAACAAGTAGAGGAAGAAACTGACGTATTTCCCGAAGAGAAGTGGAAAGAAAGCTCTTTTTCGACTGTTGCTTGTTTGGAAGTGAGTGCCACTGCTGCTGCTGCTGACATGGCACGAACGTTTTAATCAGCGTTTCTTGTCCGCTTGATCTTTGTGTCATCATATTTACGAGGAAAAGCTTCTTTGTTTTTTTTCTAATTTCTTTTTGGACAATTCTCAGAAAAAAAAACCATAAAATATTATATCACAAATGACAAATTATTATTATTATTTTCGAAAATTAAGTGTATTTTTTAATTATTAATTGATAGTTAAAAAAATTCAATAAAAAATTAATAATTTTATATTCATAAAATCTTAAAATAAAATATTTATATCAAAAAATTCACACGAAATATCTTATTAAATGAATTTATTTTTTTATATTTTTAATTGTAATTTTAAATAAAATAGAGTTTAATAGTCCGAGAAATCATTAAGTATTTTCAATGCAACAATTTGTTATTGTTATAAAATATTTTAGAAAATTTACGTTTTTTTATTTCTTCAATTCAAATTTTAGGATCAACATGTCGATGTAAAAGCGAAGTATGAAAATAGCTCCATGAGGAATTTAATTTCCGAAAATACTTTTTGGGTTTCTCCTTCAAATGAAAGAAAAGCTCAATGGGCCTTAAAGAAAATTGAAACTGAACAATAGAGAACAAAATCTTAATCGATGGGCAGGCCGAGCAACAATGTCGCGGCCCAGTCCAAAATAACCCAAGACAGTAACTGGGCTACACCGACCACCTTGTCAAAGTTATATTCTAGTTAGCTCCGATGAACTGTGGCTGAGTGGACAACCTTGACTCTGTGGGATGAAAGATGGGTTGCAGAGAAAGAGACCACTGGAATTTCATTTAGTTCAACTCTCTGATCACAGGTAGCACCTTCTTTATTTTTGTTCTTGGTTTTTTTTTCTTTTTGGGTTTTTTTTTTTTTGCCTTTTTAATGTGATCATGCTTTGCTGCTTATTGAGCGAGAATTGATGTAATGTAGGATAGGACAATGCAGAAAAGCATAGTATGTTCTTTTACAAGAGTATGTCTTTTTCTTTGATGTATGTATGTAAAAGAGTTTGGTTTTCTACAGATTGAGATGGTTACTTGTGAACTCTTCAGCTCCATGCTGAACATGAGCCATAAAATGGCTGCTGTAGTCTGTTTAGGATGGTGTTGTTGGTTGTTTGTTCTGTCCTTGTTAAATTTCTTAGAAGATCCCAATCTTTGCTATCTTGATAAAATTGAATTTCTTTAAGAGTTAAGACTGTGTTTTGATCCGGCCGTCTCATATGTTCAATGGCCTTTGCATTTCTGGGATTATATTGGTCAAGTAAATTTGATCTACCTTTGATTAAGAATTATACTTCAAATTGTCAAATGCCTTACTGGGGACAATAGAAAGCTCTTATTAAGTGCTGATGGAATTTGGGTTTCAGATTCTTGGAGCAGATCATTCTTTTACGAGTGAAAGTAGAAGAATCTTGTTTTTTCAATGATTAAATTAGTTGAGTTGAGTTTTGGTTAACAGCAGTAATGAAGGCAAACAAGAAGCGGAATGCTAGGGGTGTATTGGCTTAACTTCAAAGGTAACCAGGACATCTTTAATTCATTCTGAGTGGTTATGACCATTTTGCTTTGAGCAAATCTATTTTGTGAGTCTTGGTGTCACAAGAGGCCTCTGCATTGTGATTGCATTGTAGAACTTTCTTTTTTATGGTTCAAGTCACTCCTTCCTCCCTGCTTCCATTTATGCTTTTAGCTTGATTCTACTCAACCACCAAAGGTTTTTGTTCTTCTACTCGACCACAAAAGGTTTTTGTTCTTTGGACTTGGACAGATTAGGTCATGTATTGTCCATGACTGATATCTGCAAGAGGGCTTACTGTCTGTTTGGTCAGGCCTGGTTGTACTGCAGATATGTTCTTCATTGGGTTTATTTCTCTTGCTCTGATATCCTGGCTAGACAATTGAAGATGACTGCCCAAGTTTTCCATATATGCGACTGGGACAATTTGAGTTCTCCACAGTTGCTTGAACCTTCCATATCAAGCCCAGTTAGAGAAATTTTCTGATTGGTTCTGGAATTAAACCAATGCAACTTCAGAAAATGGATTACCCTTGCATAGGAAACTTTATAGATTAAAAGAATTTTCAGGCTTTTAAAATAATTAGCTTTCGTAATATGAAAACCTTTTTTCTAAGCATAATTTATAGAACTAAAATGAGATGCATGCCCTTCTTCTGCAGTTGTATAGTGATCTATATAAACCCAAAGTTTTATGTTGGATTTATAGGAAGAGCATTGTTGCAGTCTTACCCTGTATTTGATGAAGCATCCAGCATTGCCTAATTGACTTTGCACCATGAAGATACAAACCTTATAAATTATTGGAATGTGCATATATCTAAAGTCACTTCTGTCAACATTTATATTCTTTACACTGTTATAGGACTTGTCTTGTGCTTGGTTCATCGAAAGGCACTTAAATCAATGCATCAAGTAATATTCTTCATTCTCTCTCCCTACAACAATGAATCTAACTCAGCAAGGTTCAGCTTTTTGGTTTTGGTTTGATCAATTTTTGTAATCCTGTTCCTTTTTTAATGAGATATCTGCTCTTGCCATATTTAAAAAAAAAAAAAAAAAAAGGAGTCCTTGACCAACTATATTCTTAGATGCATGTAGTTAATACCACTTAATTACTATAAAGAAGGGAAAACAAAAGATGAATCTTATCTTATGTAAATATAGTTTTTTTTTTCTTTTTTCTTTTTCAGAATATCTTAGCATATTTTCTTGCTAGCATAGTAACATGTAAATGTGGAATGAATCAATTACCCCTAAGGAATAAGACTCAGCTATGGATATTCTAGAAAGCAGGTTATGTTTGAGCTTGGCTAAGCAGTGCTGGCCTAAGTTTGGCTCATGCTAGTTCGTTCTAGGTCACATCACATAATTGTGATCATTTTTTTTATCGTTGTTCTATGTTTTAGCCTTTTAATCTGCTCCTTGAGATGTGTTTGTGCTTGGTGTTTCCTTGATGAAGTCTATGTTTAAATGATGCTAGCTTACAGATGCTTTTTTAATGTATATTTGTACATTCATAAAAGACATTATGACTTGTTTTCTCTATTCATATGCTTGTTATATGTGCATGTCTTGGTAACATTTTAGCAACTAATAGCTATATCAGATGACTATCTTCTGCTATTCTTTTTCTCATTCATTCATATGCTTATTCTTTTTAAATTGTAGTTCTGTGGATTGGATTGCTAAAAGCCTGAAGAGCTTTTAATTTCTCTATTTGAACACACACAGAGGTAGGCATCTCATTTTTGAGGGGGCAAAGAAGAAGAGGAAGTTCTAAGACAAAATTCAGAAGATGCAGTGGTGGTAATTTTGGGTTGACACTGGCTTTTAATCTCCAGCATTAAGAGTCATCTGGTATGATGACATGTGGGTAGCAGTTCAAATAACTACTATTGATGTTTCTATTCATTTCCCTCCTCAATTGATAATGCTACTAATGGTTTTACATTTTCATATTCTATTGTGGACGAGCTGTTGTTGAACTGTAGCTCCTCTAGATACTTATTATTTAAGGGAAGGCCCAAGTTCTACTTTTTTCTTCTTTTTTTTATTCCACAATAGGCAAAAAGAAGACTTGTCTTTTTGCACTTGGTGGATACATGTTGATGTTTATATCACCACCAAAACTTTTTGTGAATTTGGAAGATCTTGTAGAAAATGTGGCAGTAACTGCTAGTTTGGATATGTACTGTGTCAAAGTGATTTAATTAATACAATTTACAAGTCAAGTACAGCTCTAATTATATGCTTTTATGAATTAAAAAATTCAAGAAATGATGTTGAATGATATGCTTTTGGTTAGTAGTAGATTGTCAGGAGCCACCTTGCATGCAACATGGAAGAATATATAAAGATAGCATTCCGAAGTTTAGATTTCATTGTAAAATAAAGAAAAGAACTGGGAAACACAGTATGATGCATTAATCTTCTTTCTTTTTTTTTTCTTTGGAAAAAAGAAGAAGAAATACTAGTACTTAGTAGCACCTAGGTATTGTATCATAGGGAGAGATTCACCTTTTTCTAATTTTCTATGCATCTGTTCTCGTTTTTCCATTAAAATTTTATTAGAATAAGAACCCCTAGGTGCACTTGCTAGTCAACTAACATACATTCGTGCTTGGAGGTGCTTGACTAGAATCTGAATAGAAGATGAATACATCCGAAGGTATTGACCATTTGGAATTAATTTTGCTTCACAGCAACAAATGGTTTTCTGCGCAATTTCTAACAGAAAACTTATTGGAATAATTGATAAAATGGGGATGTAGATGTATAGCTAGTAGTACTGTACCATAATTTCATCATTGGAATAGGGACCAAACACAGCTCTCGATGTGGAAAATCATAATAAAAATACTCAGCACAGTGGCCACGCATATTCTGTTGACCACTGGCTAATGTTATCTCCTTCATGGGGCAGTCTTTACTACTTGATTTCAGTTCTCGAGTTCAGATAGAAGTTGCACAACTCGGTTGTTTTTTGTTTTCTGGATTGTCATTATGAATAACTGGTGCCTAGTAATCAGCACCGTGTAACTCAAGTTTTCACTGATGAAATGTTTGATTTGAGTTGTTTTTGCCACCAAATTGCTTTCCAGTTGCTTTCTGGTTTTCCAACAGGATAAGCTGTCATCACAAGTGAAGCAACACCAAAGAGGCAATGTTTCTGAGTAGAGCAACTGTCTTCTATCTATGGTACGTCTTGGCATTTTATTGCTGCAAATTGTAATTTTCTTATAGAATCTTAAATCTGTAACTTCTAGTTAAATGGTAATGTAAATTGCTTGCAGCATGAAAGATTTAAATGGTTTATTTGATACGTCAACTCACATCACATGCATACCCTATTAAAGATATGTCCCTTGTCGTGTGAATATTCCATTTTAAAGGTCTTTAGTGTTCAATGGAAAATTGAAGATTCACTTTATTCTGTAGTGATTGTACTTTTGCAAATGTCACTGGTAGTTTGAGTGTTTCTGAAAAAAAAAACCAGGTACCTCGGACCAATAAAATTTTGGAAGTGTCCATGTCTCCCTCATAACTTTTTGCTTGACTATGTAAGTACAGTGATTATGCAGAGAATGAATTGTATGAACCATTGAAAGTTATTGCCCAATAGTATGACATATAGATATGCTAGAATCTCTTAAACAGCATGTTGCTCTTTTTTGAGTTCACTTCTCTCATTAGATCTTTTCTGTGGCTGACGTTGGTTGAATGTAAATTGAAAACCTGAAAGATTCATTACACTATCATTCATTCAGAAAGCAAGGATTAGAGATTCATGGAAATGATTTGTAGGACCATTAAAGTACAAACCTCATTCAGTTTTAGAGAATAAAAGGATGAATATATTAGGTTACAATCCCACATCCTTGTTAAGTTATGCATTGAGGATGCTTTACTCGCATGTATAGAGAGAGACCAGTCTGTTGGACAACTCTAACTGTAAACTCTTAGAATTTCTGATGTTATTTTTAATAATTGTTTTCTTTTTGTTTTTCAAATTATTATTATGGCTAATTAAGGATCAACCTTGTATAATGTACTCTTAAAACAAATAATCTTCTGTGTGCTTGGCTGTCAATTAGTCATGTTTATGGCTGAATAGTGGGTGAATAATCATGTGGAGGATCTTGTTTTTTGATTTTAATTTGTGATTGTTCTCTCCAGAATGATCCCAGAAAAGAAACTTGACTTGTCTAGGTTTTTCTGCTTATTTTTTTTCCCTATTATACCCCTGCTTAGATGTTTTGCCCTCTGACTGCGTTATTGTGCCTCATAAATGAAGAGATCGAAATTGGAGGAAAGATCTAAATACAGAGAACACGGGCTAACAAAACTGGAGACGATGCATGATGTTGTATATGTTGATTCTGTCTTGGTAACCAATGTGTGAATGGATCTAAAATTAGTGTTATGCTTATATTTTTATGGAATTCTGTCAGTGGCTGTAGAACAGTTTCACAGTGCTATATGGCATTCTGCCATTGGTGTAGTCTGACTGCTGCAGAAGCAGGTTGAGACATCTGAGGTATGTCCATGATAGACCACTATACCATCTACTGTTTATAGTACTCTCTCTTATTGGTTTTCCCTTTGCTTTAAAAATTTGGAGCAATGGGACTTGGCCCCTTCTTTTGTCATACATAAGCTAACTCTTCATGCAAGAAAAGGAATCACTGTTGTCTTTAGAATTAGATTTACTGTAGGAATACTCGACATTTAATTGCAAATGATTACTACATACATTTCGTCTACAGCTACTGTTCTTCAGTGCCTTTTACTGTAAATAATAGTTCAGTGCCTTTTACTTATAAATAATAGTTCATAGTGGAAATGTTTGGCTTGATTGAAGGAAAAAATTTGAACTAGCCCCTGCAGCCTTCTAGTTACAATTGCTGTATATGAGAAGACAGGAGACCATTATAGTTATCTATTTACACAAGTTAAGGCATCTCCCTCATATGCCATGAGGGCTTTTTTCTTTTAAGATAAATATATGGCCAGTGTCACGAGAAAGATATTGCCTTTTGAAATATTCTCTGGCCAGGAGCAAGTATTGCCAGGGGGTCATAAATAGATTTTCTCTGGGCAAAAACTTCCCATCGCGGACCAAAGTGGGCTTTCCATTCTTCCTGTGTAGTGTAGTGGGGCAGATATTGCTTCATCCCAAGGCGTGCTGTTTCACAAAATTCTAATATTCTTTTATTCTGAGTTAAGATATGTTCTAAGCCATCATTTCCAGTGGATGAGGGCACTGCAGAGGTAAGGAAAGCCACTAAGTAGAAAATATCTTCATCTGGAATAACAACAGAAGTTCTGTTGTCCCATCTGAAATCAGAATCAGTAAATCAATCAGTCAACAAAACATTGGAGAAGTCAAAAAATTAAAATCAATTATTTTGTCAAAATGTTACTTTGATTTGTTAACCGGGTAGATAAGGATTGGACCGTTGCTGGTGTCTGTAAGGATATTGCCAAAGACTTCATCAGCAAAATCATTTATTTTGCTTTTTGGGACAAGAAGATTGAGCCATGGATGCGGAACTTCCCACAAACCCTTAGACCGTAGTTTGACCTCAGAGACATGAACTCTGTCCAAGAATTCTAAGTATGGAACTTCCGTTAGGAAAAGTGTTGATGTGATGTATCTTAGTTGAGACAGCAAATTCCTGACTTCCTGCATAATAAAAACAGATTTGTGAGTAAATGCCATTTCATTAATTAGTTTATGGCTTCCTAATTAGTTTACTTATATATGAAAACCAAAAGATAGTGGACCATGTGCCTCACCTCATTTAGGGCATCTATCCTGTCTCGGTTGAAGTATTTGGCCAATTCTAAGCAGTATAGAGTTCTTCCATCTGACTGAAACTGGCTAGCTTGAACTGGGTCTTGAGGATTGAAAGATGACCTCCAGTTATTCAGGAGACCAGTCCTGTTAATTATCACAAATCCTTCAATGTAATCGAATGTGCTTCCTGCCCCTATTAAACGCTCTTGGTCTGCGGCAAATGTTGTAAAGTCTGAGTAGAGAACTCTTATCCATTTCACCTATTCAAAATATGAAATTGTGCTGTGAGAAACAATACTTACTACTATAGGCATTATTTTATTCTCTTGCATTAATTTAGAAAAAACTTCTACATGGACCCAATGGCTATGCTTTTACCATATCAGATGCTGGTTCCAAGGATATTCTCGCCCGTGTTATGATGCCAAACTGGCCTAGTCCTCCAAGAACGCTGTGAAATAGGTCGCTATTCTGCTTCTCCGAGCAATTTAATACTTCTCCCATTCCTGCACTCAGTTCCAACTATTTTACATAAGGATTTATGCGATGCACATGATTCTTTTTTCCATGCTATGTTTCCATATTTGTGTGTGTTCGTGCACTCTCATGTGTTTGATTTTTGCACTTGAACATCAAATTATTGGCAATGGTCAAAGTATCTTTTGTGGAACCAAGGTCTAGCACAGCATGCATAGCAAGGATGTCATGAATACTTCACTTGACCCTGGTCCCATTTGCCTAGATGCAAATTATCCATGTGTGATGCGTACTGTGTTTTTGTTTTTCTTCTCAACTCCTTTTTTTCATCTTTTAATCTCTCTCTCTCTCTCTCTCTTTTTTTTTTTTTTTTTTTTTTGCAATTTTACTAAAGTTGCTTTAACGAACCTGTAACAACTTCTAGCTGATGGACATTATTGATCTGAGGGCCATGCCGAAACGCCTGCCCACTAACCCCAGCATTGGACAAAGTACCACCAACAGTTAAATGTAAGTAGTCTGTCCATGATTTTGGTGCCAACTCATACTTCAGGCATTCGCGCAGGATATCTATCCATAAGTCACCACCAGAAGCATCCACATATGGATAGTTCCCAGTATGCACGTGCATTTTACGGCCTTGGAGTGATTCCATGTTGATTACAACTCCTTGGTGGGCTTGTGCCTGACCCTGGAGTGAGTGACTGTGGCCTCTTGCTGCAACTGTGAGCTCTGAATTAGGACCCATCTGCCAAATATGCCTTATCGTAGTGGCAATATCAGAAACTGACTTTGGATATAGTACTGCCAAAGGGAGTAGCTGAAACCTATTGCCGAAGTCTTTGGCTGCATGGTGAACTTCATCAAAGCTGAAATGCCCGTCAACGGACAGGGTTCTCAATGAACAAGGGTTGCTGGAAAAACAAATGTTTATTGTTATGGTCATGCAGGTCAGGAACAAAATCATGAAGCTTCTTACGAAAAGCATATTGGTTTGTTTGAGGAAGCTCTCAGGTTGATATCTCATTTATCTTTTTAGTTCGAAAGTTGAGGGAAGAAAGGTGTTTAAGCTGGTTTTCTTGCACGTTTCTATGCAAAAAAAGCAAAAGGAGTGGTATGGAGGTGCCACGGAAATGAAGGGTTGAGAGGAGAATTTAAAGGTGAAGATTTTGGGTGGCTGAGTCAACCAATATTCAGTTTTAAGAATCCGTATGAAGACTGCCTGCTTGTTAGGACTTTCTTTTGGTTCTCCTTTTTGTGCTCTTTTATTTATAACAGAAGCCATCAAATACAGATGCCAAGTTGAAGGGAAAAGTCACAAGAAAGAAAGATTTCACAAATCTTTGCGCTTTTTCCCAACAGTTGCAACCACAATCTCACCTTTTCCACCAAAGACAAATATGCCTCAAAATTTATCTCACTTACCATGTTAAGGAAACTTCTTCTATATTTAGAAAAGTGAAATACTCAATGGCATCCCCCGTATGCGTATCTCCTCTGCCTCTGATGACAGGTATGCCCATACCTATGTCTCTCATACATGACTTATTCTAGATTATGTTTTTCTCAAATCTATGGCTGTCGGAATGTAAGCATCGCGTATCTGCTTTGAGATCAGATGAGAGGGACTATGGGTCCTCCCTTTGATTTATTTGAAAGGGAAGGATGGTCAGGTGGGGGCATTTATGGGTCCTTTGGACACGTGAAATGCTAATCCATGTGTGCTTTGTGGGGTGAATGATTAGTTATTTCGGGACCCCAATGAGCCAGCGTGAAGAGGTAAGAAGAAGAGCACCTTGTAGATGGGGATGACAGCTTGAGGGAAGCACTGAAAGACTCCTGTGCTACCGCTCTGTTGTTTATTGTTTTGAATTCCAAGTTCACAGCAAATGGACAAGCCTGGAGGATTCTCTTGTTTATTTGTTTGCAAGCGCAATTATTGTCTTTTTCACTTTTTTGCAACCAGTTGCATTAGAGCACCAAGTTAGAGATTTGCACTTCCAGGGAAGCATCTTACACCTCCCTCAGTATTGGTGCTGAAACTTGCTATGTTGTTGGTTCTGTACTGCTCAAAAGTGGAGGCCAGCACTGATCTTGAAAGGAAAAAACAACTCTCAAATCTGGGCAATGGACTGTTTTTTAAAGTTGGTTGGTGCTAGTTACTAGTTAGGGTTACCAATTCTCTTTGTGTACTTGGAGAGAACAATGTGCTTAGGAAGTGCGATCTTATTGGCCCATTTGGCCTTGTATTCCATCACTTTCTTGATTGAAACTAATCTATTAAGAGCTTATTAAGCCCCAAGGGGACACATTCCAAAAACCAATAGCATTAAAGAGATCCAAGACGTTCATTTCGATTCACATAGGATTTGGTGGGCATCTCAATGGACAGACATAAAAATACAACATCGCAGAAACAAGTCTTTTACAGCTAGAAGTTCTTTAGGTAAAGTGAAGAGAACTAATTAGGTAAAGTGAAGAGAACTTAAAACTCAAACTCTAATGGGAAGAAAATGACATAACACAGTGATACGAGGAGGAAAACAACATGACAAAGACTGCATTGACAAATCAACTACAGTCTTGCATTTAACTTCAACTGCTTTGAAGTGGATTTTGACAACATTTTCGAATAAAACAAGTAAGCATTGTCTCCAACTTAGTGTCCTTTTTTGGACTCAAGTCTTCTTTTGTTGGATTATAATAATATTATGTCCTTTTTTTTTTTTTGGGGGGAGTAGAGATTGCACTCAAATGCCTCTAATTATTATGGGATATGGTGTGAAAGTATCGTTAGTGTGAACATGTTCTGACATTGCTCTTTTTATTGTGGTGAAAAACCTAATCTTTGATTACATGCTTTCTAGAAGGAGACCGACCATTAATAAAGAAAACAAAGCGTAATTAGCATAGCTTAATAATGATTACGTGAGACACCTCCATGGCCGTAAACAGGTGTCGAGGGGGCCTTCATGTTCATTGATGCTTCGTTTTTGCAATGCAAAAACCTCTTTATAAGTAAAAAAAATTGTAGAAGTTTACCCTTAACAATTGTCATCCAAGAATCGAGAGGACGGCTAGGGTGGCTCCCATGGCACTTTCTATGGTCTTGCTAATGTAAAATCATCAATCAAACTAAACGACACTAAGCTTGCCACATCACACTAGCTTGACGATTTGATTGGCTAGACATAAATCGACCAGGAACGAGTAATAACTTTACAAGTGGGGGTGGAAACGCCACTAGGCGAGACGCGATCGGTGGATTGCCACGGTAGGGTTCAACTCCATATCCTTATGATAATACTAATCATGCCAAAAGAGACTTAAAAGAAGCACTTATTTAGAGAGGCTGGTAGGGCACAAATTTGATTTAACCTAAGAGGTTATAAAAGAATCATACTTATCATGTTCCTTCTTCCCAATTTTATTCCACTTTAATCAATGTTTCCTTGTCTCTCTTCTCATCATATGAGGTGAAGATTACAAAAACTGTAATCTCTTGTTTTGTCGTTTATGACCTTTAGTACCTCCAACCTAGCTAATCAACGTTGTATTTAGCTAGCTAGCTACGTTAAAACCAAGATCAGAAATATCAAAACAAATCTACCCACAAGGTAAAAGCCAAAACTCATGAAATTTGTATTGTTTTCATGTGTGACAAGGTGACTGGCTATCAATTTCACTACAAGATTCTCATCAATTATAACATGTTCTTCATGTTTGTAGACATTGAATTATTAAATGTCACAATTTTTTGTCACTTAATTCGAATGTATGATACTTGTGTACATTGCATGTTTCATGCCTCACCATCAATATTGCTTACCCCTATGTTTGAGTACATTACATGTTTCATGCATCACCATCAATATTACTTACCCCCCTTAGGTTGGAAAAATCATGTACAATATAGGATCTTGATTAAATATTTCGACGTAAATACACAGGTTTCGATCATAAACTTATCCGAAAATATCCTTTAAAAAGAAAAAACAAAATTACTTATTCGAACTTTATATATCTCACAAGATCTTGTAGGCTAAAAAGAAACAAATCAAAGCAGGCAATAAAGTATCATGAAGACATGTTTATGGGGAATAAATTAAATTTTTTGGGTATATACAAAATGAAAAGGTAAAACTCATCAATGAAGAAACCTATAATATCTTTTAACAAAATGATGATCGATGTTCTATATATCAATCTTTGCGACTTTTTTTTTTTTTATGAAAAATACTCTTTAGTGTATTTCTTTGTCTAAAAAGTTAGGAAAAATGCATTTTATTAATGATTTTTGGTAGTACAATTACAAGTGAAGATATGAACTGTCCAGCATAAGAATAAAACAATAGACTTTCTGATCAGCATGTTAGTTTTTAATTTGTTAGGCTAACTTTTTCTTTCATTTTGCTTTATTATGTTCTAAGCAATGATGTCCGTTAATAAATAAATAAATAAATAAAAATTAAGACAACTAGCTAGGTATAGCTAGCTAGGGTTCTGCCTTTCTTAATTTTTCTTGTCTAAATTTCCTTTTTTGTGGGTGTGCATGTGTATAGCTTTTACACTATTAATATTCATTATAGAGAGCCAAAAAAAAAAAAATTGATTATGTCCGACAGGGTGTGTTTAATTTGTTAACCTACTTTTTGTGATCATTAATTGGATTTTTCTTCTCTAACCTAAAATTAAAAAGTACTTTCATAATGTCCTAAGAGAATCATAGGAAAAATATAGGTTCTATGAAGGGTGCTTTTTTATTCGGTAGATAAAATAAAAGTACTTTAAAAAGCATATATACAGAGAACTCTTTATTAGTACACCTCAACCTGCCATTGTACTTGAAATCCCAAAGACAAAAAAAAATCAAATCTTGATTTAGTGCTTATCCAACATTGTCTTTTAAGAATATTCATATCTATCTCACATTAGGAAAAAAAAAAATCCATATCTAACATCAGGCAATACTGCTTGTCTATCAACAATTACTTGCATGATCTTTATCTTGGACTCAAAAATATAAATTTAATCTAAGATGATTGAATTGAGTAAAAAGAACTCTACTCGTTTAAATAAATAATTTCGAAATTGAATTTTTGTATAGATAGAAACTTTTTTAGATAATTATACACGTTTTTGCATTCAACGGAACAATGAAAAATTAATTTAGGACTTTAAGTTAAGTTATCTTGGGGATCCAAAAATATATATGTGTAAATTTAAAAGGACCTATTAGTCTTAATGTGCGAAAGTTGGTGACATGAGAATATCTCTCATTTTAAACCAAAAAATAAATTTGCATCTCTTCTCTCAGCATTGCATATATACATGCACACTCACTAGAACATATATAGAATAGGTTTTTTTTTCCTTGACATATTATCCCTTGAAGACTTGATTAATCTCAACAAACAAAATATTTTAATTTCTATAATCAACGGTATTAAATTATGAATTACGATTTTACTCACTTTTTAAAGTGAAACATTCAAATCGTTAGTGTGTCCTCATACCAAATATATGCTCTAAAATCAAATCCCATCAAATAGAGTTTGATTTTTTTTACAATATTTGTAATATTAAGAAGTAAATAAAGGCAAGAAAAAACAAACACCAAAGTGGCCCAAAAAAAAAAAAAAACAAAAAAAGAAAGCCAATCCCACCTTGAAGGGCATATGTTGTCTTGAAGTAGAATAGGAAGGAACCTGGGAACATGAGTTTAGGTAAGCCTCTCTTTCATGTCCCATGTGCTTATCATGTACTTCTCTTTTTCACCAGCGTCTGCATGCCCTAGAATTTAGTCTATAGCGTTATAAATGATTTTTGAATACTTGAATTTTCTCGTCTTTTCCACGAAATTCACCTTCTTCTTCTTCTTCTTCTTCTTCTTCTTTCTTCTTAAGTTTCCATCATGACAAGTATGGAACATATATAAATAGTCAAAACCAACATATATATTCCTAT